CAACTTTTTCACTCTCCTCTTTGACTTTCATCAAGAGACTCTTTAGATCTTCTTCACTATCTGCCATAAGGGTGGTGTCATCTGCATATCTGAGCTTAATGATATTTCTCCAGCAGCCCTGATTCCAGCTTGTGCTTCCTCCAGTCCAGCAAAATCCAGCACTGGGATTTTGCATGATGTACTCTGCATATTAGTTAAATAAGCAGGGTGACAGTATACAGCCTTGCCGTACTCCTTTTCCTATTTGGAACCAGTCTGTTGTTCCATGTCCAGTTCTAACTCTTGCTTCCTGACCTGCATACAGGTTTCTCAAGAAACAGGTCAGGTGGTCTGGTATTCCCATCTCTTTCAGTGTTTTCCACAGTTTATTGTGATCCACACAGTCAAATACTCTGTCATAGTCAGTAAAGCAGAAATATATATATTTTTGGAACTCTCTTGCTTTTTTTGATGATTCATTGGATGTTGGCAATTTAACCTCTAGTTCCTCTGTTTTCTAAAACCAGCTTGAACATCTGTAAGTTCATGGTTCACGTATTGCTGAAGCCTTCTTGGAGAATTTTAAGCATTTCTTCATTAGCATGTGAGATGAGTGCAGTTGTGAGGTACTTTGAGAATGCTTTGGCATTGCGTTTCTTTGGGATTGGAGTGAAAACTGACCTTTTCCAGTTCTGTGGCCACTGCTGAGTTTTCCAAATTTACTGGCATATTGAGTGCAACATTTTCGCAGCATCATCTTTCAGCATTTGAAATACCTCAACTGGAATTCATCACCTCCACTACCTTTGTTCGTAGTGATGCTTGTCAAATATTATGTTAATTATATGTATTATATTAATATATGTATGCCACATTTTGTTTCTATTTGTGAGATAATGTTTGAATTATTTCTGAAATTTTGTAATGATAAATGAAAAAATAAAAACATAGTCTATGATGAAGAAAACTATAGCTTTTAATCTAAGATGTATTAAATTATTATATTTTTGTTCATTTTTACTTTCCTAATTGAGGCCTTTTGAAATTCTGTCCATATGAACTTTTGGATGATTTTTTTAATTTCTGCAAATTACAGTACGGTTTTTCCCCCCCATTTATTTTTATTAGTTGGAGGCTAATTACTTTACAGTATTGCAGTGGTTTTTGCCATACATTGACATGAATCAGCTGTGGATTTACATGTGTTCCCCATCCCGATCCCCCCTCCCACATCCCTCCCCATCCCATTGCTCTGGGTCTTCCCAGTGCACCAGCCCTAAGCACTTGTCTCATGCATCCAACCTGGGCTGGTGATCTGTTCCATCCTTGATAATACACATGTTTCGATGCTGTTCTCTCTAAACATCCCACCCTCACCTTTTCCCACAGAGTCCAAAAGTCTGCTCTGTACATCTGTGTCTCTTTTTCTGTTTTGCATATTGGGTTATCCTTACCATCTTTTAAAATTCCATTTTTATGCATTAGTATACTGTATTGGTCTTTATCTTTCTGGCTTACTTCACTTTGTATAATGGGCTCCAGTTTCATCCATCTCATTAGAACTGATTCAAATGAATTCTTTTTAATGGCTGAGTAATATTCTGTAGTGTATATGTACCACAGCTTTCTTATCCATTCGTCTGCTGATGGACATATGGGTTGCTTCCATGTCTTGGCTATTATAAACAGTGTACAGCAGGGTTTTAGTAGGGATTTTATTGAATCCCTAAGTTGCTTCAGGAAAAGGTGTTATCTTAATACAGAAACACCTTAGAAATATTGTAGTTTCAATTTCAGACCAGTGCAAACAAGCAAGTATTGCACCAAAGCAAGTTGCATGGATTTTTTGGTTTCCCATTGTATATGAAGGTTATGTTTACCCTAAATTATCATCTATTAATAGGGACATGACTGAGCGACTTCACTTTCACTTTTCACTTTCATGCGCTGGAGAAGGAAATGGCAACCCACTCCAGTGTTCTTGCCTGGAGAATCCCAGGGAAGGGGGAACCTGGTGGACTGCCATCTATGGGGTCGCACAGAGTCGGACATGACTGAAATGACTTAGCAGCAGCAGCAGCAAAAGTGCATTATGTCTTTTAAAATGTTTGTACTTTAGACAACATAATCTACATGCAGTTACCAAAAAGCATAAGAAAGCAAGTATTGTTAAGAATATGAAATTACTTAACATACTTTTGGTGGGAAGGCATAATGATACAGCAGGTGCAGAAAAACAGTATGAAGAGACCTCAAAAATTAAGAATAGTATCACAGAATCCAGTATTTTTAAAAAAAGTATCATAGGATCCAGTATTCAGACTTACGAGTGTTTATTCAAAACAACTTTGAATTCAAGATTTCACAGAGATATTAGTGTTCCTATGTTCATTGCAGCACTAATAACAATAGCTGATATGTGAAAAATAACAGATGAATGGATAAAGAAAACAAAGTCTTCTACATATTTGGCAAATTTTAAGTTTATTTTCTTCTTAGTGGTGCAGTAAGTTGACTTGTTACCTTAATTTCCTTTTTTAATTATTCTCTTAATATATCAAAATACAGTTGATTTTTTCTCCTGTATTATTTATGTATAATTGGCATATAACATTGTATTCATTTAAGGTATACAACATAATTAGTATATATTGTGGAATCAGTGCCATGTGTAGTTAGCATCATAGTTGTTTGTTAAACTTTCTTCTACCTATTACTTAATAATTCAAAATTACATCAAAAACATTTTTATTACATACATCAAAAACCTTATTCAGGCACTCCCTAAAGTCTTTCTCAAAGTTGTTTCTGTTTTTCAATTGGCATAGGTGAATGTTTCCATGTGTAACAGTAACATCAAATAAAACTATTATTGCAAGAGCTTTTTAAAAAATTAAACACTGATGAATTAAATGACTTTTCTTGAAGTAAAAGATGAATGTCCTATTAAGGTTATTTGGAGAGGGAAATGGCAACCCACTCCAGTATTCATGCCTGGAGAATACCCATGGACAGAGGAGTATGGCAAGCTACACCCCTTGGGGTTGCAAGAGTCAGACAGGGCTTAGTGATGAAACCACCACCAACAACTGTTAGGTTTATTAAGTTTCAGAATCAGAAAAACCAGTGTTTGTGATATTTGTGAGTGAAAGATCTACTACAGGTGTATATGTTTGTGTTGCATTGGTAACAATTCTTACATACTATTTTATCTTCTATTTCCATAAGAAGTATACATTGCTTTTCCTGCTGTGTATTAATGATTTTATGTTCTGCTATAATTACACACTCCCCACAGGCAACATAAATGATCCTTCTAGTGTCCTTCTCTGATTGCTATTAGCTTGGTTCAACTTACTTTTGCTTGTTAAAATTAACAAGCTTAATTTATTAAGCTTAATTTATTAACTATATGTGTATTAACTATGTATCCTTCTTAATGGGCTGCTTTCTGAATGTTGGTTTGCTGTCTGTGTTAAAACCATGGCATTCTTATGTGTATGGGTGTATATGAGAGATGCAAAGTGTAGGGTGTTCTTTTTTTCCTTCTTGTCTCATTTGGTTAGAGTAAAAACTGTTTTTAGCCCCAATTTATACTTTTAATTTAATTGTCCTGTTTACTTAATACGGTGTCCTTGGGACTTCCTTGATGGTCCAGTGATTAAGAATCCACCTTGCAATGCAAGGAACGACAGTTCTATTTGGTCAGGGAACAGGAGACTGAAGTTCCCTAAGGGAACCTACCATGGAGCAACCAAGTCTTTGCGCCACAACTCATGAATCCTATGGACAGCAGAAGATCTGGTATGATGCAACAAAGATCCCTTGTACCACAACTAATACCTGGCGCAGCCAAATAACTAAATACTTGAAAAATAGAAATGTTATTTAATAGAATATGTCTTTGAAATGACTTCACCATCTTTTTTTTTTTAATATTTTAAAAACGTCTTTCAGGCTTTTTCATGTATGTTTTAAGGACACTATACTTTGGATTTTCTTTTATTATCATTTTCTGTTGTTTTGCAAGGGTTGAGTTAAACATCATGTGGCTATGAAAAATTTTCCTCTTACAATAATTTTTGAAGGAGAACTTCGGGCAGTGGTCTCATTTGTAAATTTTCTTGTACCTTCAATATGAGTATTGTTTATCATACCTGTGGGAACTTATGTCTTGAATACTTCATTGTTTATAAATATTTTCCAGGGATATTTTCTGTTAAAGCAGCATATTTTAAAATGCAAAGTAGATTAACTACTTTTCCTCATAAACTTTGTAAACGATAGTAGTAGCACTTCTTGTATTTCCTTAATAAAATGTGCACATCTTTGAAAGTCTTTCCAGGTTAATTATCCATCTGCTTGTAGGATAGTTCTACAGCTTTGTGAATGTTATTAAGTAATGTCTAAAGGTGAATTTTTTTATTTTTCTGTAAGTTGTGGGAAACAGCAAATGTTATAATTGCCATATTTTACTGATTCCATATTAGGTTGTAGCGTAGTTTTACTAGCTGTTATTTTGAAAGTTCGTGGTGCACAGTTAAATGTCAGTTAATGAATTAGAACTCTTTATTTTCATAATGGAAACTTTTAAAATATCATTATTGTCTGAATCATATACTGCTAAATTTTATGATGTATATAGCATATATATGAGTGTTTATTCTAGTTTATTACTTGAAACATTAATTTTATGTTTAAAGGCTTTTTTAGGTGAAGTATAGTTGATATTATATATACAGTATATGCAACATAGATATTCCAATTTTTAAAGATTTCATTGCCTTTGTAATTTATTGTAAAATATCAACTAAATTCCCTATGTGTACAATACATCCTTGTACTTATCTCTTTTATACATAATAGTTTGTCCCTCCTAACCCCTTTAATTCATCTCCCTTGCCTCTCCTCCATTCCCTCTCACAAGTAGTAACCACTAGTTTGTTTTCTGTATCTTATGTTTCCTTTTTTTTGTTGCAGTAATGATGTGTGTTTTTTTCTGAATATCTTCTGCTCTTTAGAGAATGTATCATTCTGCGAAGGAAGCTTATGAACAGCTTTTACAGACAGAAAACCTACCTGCACAAGTAAAAGCAACTGTTTTACAGCAGTTAGGTACATAAAAGTTACTTTTTATTCCATAATGCATTATTATTAAAATTTTGGTGGGAGTGGGTAGAAACAGTTTTAATTCTGCTTAAAAATATCTTTTCACTAAACTCCTGTGTTTTAGAATTAATTGTAATGTTTATTATTTTGAGATTGTATTTTAAGTGAGTATTGTATATTATAAATATTTCTATAATAAATGTACTTCTCTCTTTTTTTTTTTTGATCAGGTGTTAATATATTTATTTCTTATTTGCTTGTTTTAAGCATTCAGTTGTGTCTGACTCAGTGACCCCATAGATTGTAGTAGTAGCCTGCCAGACTTCTCTGTCCATGGGATTTCCCAGGACAGAGTTGCCACTTCCTCCAGGAAATCTTCCTAATCCACCTAGCGTATTTCATAATTTCATATCTCATAATTTAGATTCAGTGGTCCAGTCCACTCCTTTTAAGTTCTTAACATTCTTCTTTAGTTATCGGTGTGTCTAGAGGAGGTTTGAACATTCCCATGTGCTTATTATAAGCACTCTGTGAAGTTAAATGAGTTAAAAGAATTCAAATGGTAGTTAAGTGCTGTGAGCTTGTTTTTATAGGGCATTTTATTATATGAGTTAATGAAACTGTGTCCCCTAAAAATTAAAGAATATTTTATTTATTTAATTTGTTTCAGTATTTGGTTTTGAGCAGATAGTTTCTAAATTTTAATGAACTTGTGATAATGTATTTTTGACATGGCAGTATTTTGCCTATAATGTCAAAAGCAATTAGTCGTACTTTTGCCTAGGTTATACTTTTGCCTAGGTTACACTTTTGCAAAGGTAATTTTATAACATGAATTGACTGACAGATGAAATGCTATAATTTCCGTTTGTCTTAACTGTTTAACATTTTTTTTCATGGTCCAATCTTTCCATTGTCTTTGCTGCTATAACTCTTCTACTTCTTCATTATTCAAATGCTGCATTTTATCTGTATTGGAGCCAATTTTAAATTTACATATTCATATACTTTGGAAATATTTTGTTTTTGATCATGTTTAGAATTTTTTGAAAATAATTAATGTAAGTGGAGTGTAGGATCTTTGGTAAGGTGTTTTCTTTGTAATAGTGTATCTTCAAATATTTTTAGTTTCACTTATTCCTCAGAGATTAACATGGACTTACTAGATTGTTTTCAAAATATTTCAACCTTTGAGGAATAAATAAATTAATCCTCTTTATGATTTTTGGTTTGTAAGTCAAAATTTTATTTTTCAAATTAAATTCAGAAAAGGAGTATCTGTCTGTGACTTCTGTGTAGTACTCTAGATGTTTTAAGGTTCCCTCTGTTGATTGTATCCCTTTTAGTAAAATGGATTTTCTTGTAGCTACCTTTGATAGTTCAAAATTTAGGAAAGTTTGATTCAAGATAAGTAAACAAATTTACAAGAAGGGTATTTGTGTGCTTCATGATTTTCTTGAGGCTAGAAGAGTTTTTGAATCATGGGTAAATGGCTTCCACTTGATTAATTATAGGATGGATGCATCATAACGTGGATCTATTAGGAGACCAAGCCACCAAGGAAAGCTGTGCTATTCAGTATCTCCAAAAGTCATTGGAGGCAGATCCTAATTCTGGCCAGTCTTGGTACTTCCTTGGCAGGTGAGACCAGACTCTTGGGTTATGCTTTCTAGAGATGGTTTACAATCTAAACTGTTAATGTTAATCTGTAATATCCTTAGTGGCATTTTATTTTAAAAACATTGTAACAAAGATTTGGGGGAGGTAAATTTGATCATTTCAGATCATTCTGAATTAGGTGCTTTTTTTTTTCCATTTATTTTTATTAGTTGGAGGCTAATTACTTTACATCATTACAGTAGTTTTTGTTATACATTGAAATGAATTAGCCATGGATTTACATGTTTCCCCATCCCAGTCCCCCCTCCCACCTCCCTCTCCACCCGATCCCTCTGGGTCTTCCCAGTGTACCAGGCCCAAGCACTTGTCTCATGTACCCAACCTGAGCTGGTTATCTGTTTCACCCTAGATAATATACATGTTTCAATGCTGTTCTCTTGAGACATCCCACCCTTGCCTTCTCCCAGAGTCCACAAGTCTGTTCTATACATCTGAGTCTCTTTTTCTGTTTTGCATATAGAGTTATCGTTACCATCTTTCTAAAGTCCATATATATGTGTTAGTATACTGTACTGGTCTTTATCTTTACTTAAGAATTCTTATTCTACTTATTAGAATTCATTTCACATTGTCTTGTGACTTGAATTATTACTAGTTTTCAAAGAGTTTTAAAGAGTTTTGTCACGTGTTAATTAGGGTATTGTTTTTCTGTTCAGTGTTTAAACTGTGTTCCGTCTATCATTTTTAAAATGTATTTAACAGAGAATTCATTTTTATTCTATCTGATGATCATGTATGGCATATTGAAAAGTCTAAACCATTTAAGGTTGGAATTTTCCACTGATTAATGAATGGATTGGATTAGATAAATCAGTTACCTTTTTTCAGTGTTATAAATTTAATTGTCTTACTTGGTTTGACTGTAAATTTTGCCCCTTATTGACATTGAGTTTATTTATGTAAAGTCTAATTCACATTTAGGTTTTGTGTTAATGTTAGCTTTTAGTGACTTTTTCTTTTAAAAAGGAAGTATACTTATATTTAAGATTATTATTAAAATAACTCCTTTTTAAAAAATTTCATTTTTGATTAATTTTATATAATAATCAAAGTTAGCTACTTTCAGTATAGAGTTTTTCTAGTCTCCCCTAGGCTTGTCAAGAGTCTAGTTTGAGTTCCTACTCAACTTAGTGTTTTCTCCTCTGCTAAAGATCCTGTGGGATAAGCTGAATCTTTCTTATCTTCCATTTTCATTTGTTGTTATCAGTCAAGAATTTAGTAAATGAAATAAGTGAACTAAGTAGTTCTTGCATTTGGAGCTAATATGATTTTTACCTTTGTGCAATATTTATCTTAATGGGTGATTTTAAAAGAGGTTTATCTTTAGAAAGAGGGGAGTGTGACACATAATATTAGGTTTTTTCTAAATTAGCACTCCTGCTAATTTAGATTTTTATAAGAATATGACCCAGGATATTTTTTTCCTTTTGATCCAATATAAAAATCAGTAGCATAATGTCATTTACGTTGTATGTGACTCTTTAGTATAAGGGATCCTTTTGTTGTTTCTGTTTAATCACAGCCATGTACAATACGTGTAATGAAATAGTTTTAAATCTTCATTTTAGTAAGGATACACTTTCCCATCTCTTTGGGAAAAGCAGTGTTCTACAAAGGGCTTAATTGAGGTTATCTGAATTTAAAACAACAATATATGTTCTGTTTTTTGATATTTTTTCTACCAGTATGGACGACAGTCTAGATTTCTCAATTACATGATATTTCTTTTGGACCAAAGATGATCATTTTTTACAGCATTTATTTATTTTTTAAAGAATATTTATTTATTTGGCTGTCCAGGGTTTTAGTTGCAGCATGTGGGATCTATTTCCCTGATTAGGGGCCAAACCAAGGCCCCCTGCATCAACAGCCCAAGGTGTTGTTAGCCACCGAACCACCAGGGAAGTCCCTGGACAGCATTTATTTTTATTTTTTAATATAAATTTATTTATTTTAATTGGAGGCTAGTATCTTTACAGTATTGTATTGGTTTTGCCATATATTGACATGAATCTGTCACGGGTGTATATAACATTGATTTTTAATGATAGTTTTTTCCCATAATTTTCTTTTCCCTGCTGCCTTTTGATATGTTGCTTCTAATTGACTTTACTAATAGAAAAGAGAATCACATTTCTGAAAAAGGATACTTTAAAGCCTATTGGAGGACTTCCTGGTGCTCCAGTAGGAATCTGCTTGCCAGTACAGGGGACATGGTTTTGCTCCCTGGTCTGGGATGATCTCACATGCCGTGGAGCAGCTAAACTAAGCCTATAAACTGCGACTAGTGAGCTCACTCACCCTGGAGCTACCTGGATACCACAACTAGAGAGGGACCATAGGCAGCAGCAAAAACCCAGTGCAACCATAGTTAGTTAGATGAAAAAAACTTACTGTAGCTCTGAATGAGGATCTCAATGTCTGTAAAATTCATAGAGATTTGATGATCCTAGTATTTGATGATCCTAGTATTTCAGAAACCCTGTGTTACCTCTGTGTCCAAGGCTTTACTTCATATTATTGCTGTTTTGATTAGGATGTGTCTGTTAAATTGAGATAGGGATGTTGGAATACAGTAGTAACACTGGTAATGAATATGTTAGAGTCTGCCACATGCAGAAAACTTAAAAAATTAGGAATGATCAGACAGCCTTCATACAGTCTTCATACAACGTAAATGACATTATGCTACAGATTTTTATCTTGGATCAAAAGGAAAAACTTATTTTACCCTTTCATGTTGCAAGTAAGGGACATGAATTCAAGGAAGTAGTTTTCTCAAGGTAACATAATAATTAACGTAGCAGAAAGAGCTAAAACCCAACTTTAATTTGTGCTTCAGTTCTCTTAACATTAAGTAAGCCAGGAGATACATACAGCATTTGTCTGATCACTAAAATACTCTTTTGTTAAAAAAATTTTTCTGTCTGTTAATATTCACACAGTCTCTAATGTCTGTACCTGTTTGCATTATTGTTCCCTTTTTAATTCTGCCTCAAGACTCTAAGGTTGTATGCATTCTTTGTAATTGCTGTCTCTGTCTTTTTTACTGGCCTTTCGGTGTTTGTCAGCCCACAAATTAGCCATTCTTTAGGCTTATTTGTACCCTTATTTTTGTGTGTATTCTAACATTAAATATATCTCAGTTTTATGTTTTTCATGAATTAAGAAATTTTGTCATTGGCATCTTTAAGTTCAGAATGGAAAATTTGGATGTACCCTTGAGGTCATTATCAACATTTAATTTCTCTTTGTTACTTAGCTCTAATATTCTTGGAATGTAAGAAGCTTGAGTTTAAAGTATGTATAAAAGAGCTCTGTATTTAAGTTTCTTCTAGCAGTGAACAAATTCTGGCTATAATGGTTTGAAAAGAATACATTATATAACATTTGCTAGCAGTCATAAGACAGAAAGTTAATTTAGTAGCCGTTAAAATGTACATTAAAATCACTATATATAAGCACATATCTTGATTAACAAGTATTTTCCCTTTCCATATACATAATTTTGTCAAGCTAATATAGTTATTTAAGCATTTGTGGAAACAGAAATACATTTAAACTATACATCTATATCTGCTTTGTTCCTTGCCTCTTTCAGGTGCTATTCAAGTATCGGAAAAGTTCAGGATGCCTTTATATCTTATAGGCAGTCTATTGACAAATCAGAAGCAAGTGCAGATACCTGGTGTTCAATAGGGTAAGGCTTGTGTGTGTTAAGTTTATAAAGCTTTAATTGATATACATGTTTATTGAACTTCATCTATATGCATGTATTAATATTACACACAGTTTTAGTAAACTTTATTTCTCTTTCCAGTGTGCTCTATCAGCAGCAAAATCAGCCTATGGATGCATTGCAGGCCTATATTTGTGCTGTACAATTGGACCATGGACATGCAGCAGCATGGATGGACCTAGGCACTCTCTATGAATCCTGTAACCAACCTCAGGATGCCATTAAATGCTACTTAAATGCAACTAGAAGCAAAAGTTGCAGTAATACCTCCATGCTTACAGGAAGAATTAAAGTTTTACAGGTAAATTCTTGAAGTAGCATATTTTAAAGACATTTTCATAAATACCTGGCAGAGGAGGGTGGCTGGAAAGTTTTTCTAATTTTGTTTTGATGTCGATAATTTATTTCCATAGTTTTGATATTTATGATGATACTACTTTTCACTTTAAGAAACTACTATATTCAAAATGTCTTTTGCATCTTTACTTTTTCTGATTCATGTTAATTTGCGTGATTTTATGTGCTATCTACATTTTTTAGGTATAACATGTTAGAGAAAAGAACACAGACATTGTTTTTCACTCTTGCATGAAATTTCACAACAAGGTGTCCAACAGAATTCTGAAAAACAAAACTTAGCTTTTTTCCTATTCTTGAAAGTATGTTTTAGTTATCCTCTTTAGCATATATCTGAAACCCCAGACTTATAACCTGCTTTCTTTAAAAAATACCTATAAATTGAGGAAGTTTTAGTGGACTTGATCTTACTCAAGTAGTCCTGTGTTAAATTTGCTTTTTACATAATTTTTCCTAGGCTCAGTTGTGTAACCTTCCACAAGGTAGTCTACAGAATAAAACTAAATTGCTTCCTAGTATTGAGGAGGCATGGAGCCTACCAATACCCGCAGAGCTTACCTCCAGGCAGGGTGCCATGAACACAGCACAGCAGGTGAGAAGTTGGGTTATCTTCTGTAGGTGCCCAGCTTTAAGGGTTCTGTCCAATCTGTAGTGATCAGATCTAAATTACTAAGTGCAGAATTGGCTTTTTTAAAAAAAAAATCCTTTCAATTATACTACTAAGGGATTTTAGATCAAAATAAAACTTCCTCTGATATGGGAAGATTCTTGGGGTAGTTTAAAACTTTCGTTTAGTTTTATGATTTCAAAAGGGATTTCTTAAGGGACTTTCATACAGTGTTTTATTTAATTTTTTAAAAAGTAAGTTTTTAAAAATAAGGTACACATTCTCCATTGATGAAGTAATTGACTTTGATTTTCAATTAGAATCCATGATGTATACATGATGTCTGGTTTTGGAAAGTAAGCAGTTCATAAGGTTTTATAATTTGAAGGCATGAATTAAGAATATATAGAACCATTTTTTTTTTTTACCTCTGTGATCCTTAGGCTTACAGAGCTCATCATCCAAATACTGAACCTGTATTAGGCCTCAGTGAAACATCAATTTCACAACAGCCCTTGCCAGTACATATGATTACCTATAGTCAAGTAGATGACCTGTCCAGTCCTGCCAAGAGGAAAAGAATATCTGGTCCAACAAAGGTATATATAAATTTTTCAGAGAAATGGAAGATTTCAATTAGAAATGAAATTTTAAGTCTTCTGAAGTTGTGCCTGTCTTATATTTTAAACTATTTGTTCATCAAGAGTGAAAAGGGTTTTTTTCAAGCCTGTTATAAGCAGTATTTCATATCCTGAAATTGTAGCATCATTTAAATATAGGAAGTAGGGATAACTTTATGTTCATGAGGCATTTTATTCATTTCCCTGCTTTTCTGAATTTAACATACATTTTTACCATCACTTTATATGGACATTATAGAGTGTTGAATGTAATGGACAGTCTGTTAGATCTTTGAGTCATGGTTCAGATCAACATACCTTTTAAGAAATTTTAAGAATAAATGACTTTTCAGATGTATAATTTTCCAAATGGGTTATGCATTGATTTTTTTAATGGGTTTAAAACATAAGCTTTGTTTCTCTGTAAATATTCCGATTGCTAATCATTTAGTATCTAATGAGTTGTAACTTGGTGTATGATTTTTTTTTAATCAAATATTTTTAATTTAAAATAAATTTTCCTGAGAATAGTTCTGAGAACTGGCATATGGTCAGACTGTATCATATACTTCAGTAGAGGAGCAAGTTGATTTGTGGTGTTTGACACCACAGAAATTACAGATATGAAATACTTTTTTGACAGTTTTAATCACATGTTTTAACATAGTGGAAGTAGTAAGCTTTAAGCTTTTGTTGGGTATTAATTCTTAAAATTGAATGCCAGTAAATGAAGTTAACATGTATATAAGTGTAATGAGCCTACATTTTCCAAAGGTATAGAGACCATAATACATTTTTGTTTTCTACTTTTTCAAAAAGAAGCATTATATTCATATATTTGAAATTTAAGAATTATTAGGAGATAGAGGTGTACAGGTTTTAAAGTGTCCTTGAAGTTCCTGCCTCCAGCTACTTAATTTCTCTTTCTGACAAATATTCAGTATTAATAGTTTCTTGTGTTTTTTTTTTCCTTTTGTTTCTAGATGTACATATACATGTGCAAGAAGATGTGCTGATCTCAGTTTTCTTTTTATCCCTTATACTAATATAGCTTGTTGACTGCTGTATCTTCTCCCTGCTCACCTTCCTCAAAGATCTATCTTTGAGATATTTTCATGTATTTTATGGCTGCTTTATTCTTTATGGCTACATGATGCTACATTTTAAATTTTTTTGGAAGCCGCGTGTTGTTTAACTAGACTTCTGTTGTTAGACTTTTACATAATTTCTGCCTATTGTAAATAAGGCTCTCCTTAAGCATTTTTGTTATGACACATTTTATAGTTAAACAGCTTTCACTTTGAATTATTATTTCTTTTCCTCATAATGTATTTAATTCAAAACACAAAAATTATTTTCATCAAGTGGATTCTAACTTTTAAAAATCTTTCTTAGCTCTTTGTAAGGACTTCATTTTGGTATTGGTTACATTTGGTTAGAAATCACTGTATGTCACAACACAAAGTTGCTTGGTTTGTAGACTTTTCAGTTAAGGTTGCTTGCTAGTGACTTACTTAATTTCTTTGATTTACCTTTGTGTATTTTTAAATTTTTCTAGTACTTGGAACACCTACGCACAGATAGAGATAATTTAAATCCAACACAAAAACTGATGCTGCAACAGTTGGAAAGCCAGTTTGTCTTAATGCAACAAGTATGTATCCCATTTTTATTATAAATATTTATTATTTATGTTAAGTATTTTTCTTGACTACAATACCACTTCAGAATTTGCTAGTGCTTATTTCTACTTTTTATGTGTAGTCATTAGAATTTATATATCTGAGCTTTAAATACCACTGGTGGACAGTTCTATTTTTTTTAATAGCTATAAACTAGTTTTGAAGACAACAGGAAATATATTTTATGTTTTGTGCATATTTTAGGTGTGTTCCATAGGCTTACTTTTTATTACTTTACAATTAAACAAAATATACTGAAGTGGAAAAGTTTTCAGGATTATTTTAAACGATTTGGCATAAATGTAATGGCCATCTGAAATCCCTTACATCATGATGAGAAATAAAGCCTGTAAATGACTTACTCACTGTTTTCAATTGCTTTCTTTTGCCCACATACCCCTAATAGGCAAAGGCCTTTTTAAACTATATACTGAAAAAGACTTTACTTTACCTATATAAACATAGCATTTCATTTCTAAAATGTATGTTTTTTAACCTCGAGAGATTAAATGTTATGATAAAGTTAGGGATATATTGATAACACAGTTTCAAAGTCACACAAGCAGGTTTTCTTTTTTGTTTTTGAAGATGAGACAAACAGGACAAACTACTGGAATTCCTAATGGGCCAATAGCTGATTCATCACTGCCTACAAACTCTCTCTCTAGCCAGCAACCACATTCTGCTCTACCCAGAGTACCTAGTGTCTCTCAGCCTGAAGTGCACTCTGCTTGTTTTGAAAATATTTTGTCCAGTGGACCTTTTTCTGCACGCTATATTCTTTCTGGCATCTCAAAGCCTCTAGGGTGTACAGACACTAATTTGGTAGGCAATAATTACTTAACACGAAGTGGAAATAATGGAAATGTGCCTTATCTGCAGCAAAACACATTCACTCTACCTCATAACTGCACAAACCTGACCAGCAGTACAGAAGAGCCATGGAGAAAACAACTATCTAACTCCACTCAGGTAAAAGAAAGATTAGCTGCTTTACTTGTTAACAGAAATTTTTCTTTGACATGTAATTTCTTCTCCTCCAAAAGTATAGAGTTTAAGAAATATTATATATTTTTAAACAATTCACAGTTATCTCAGAATTTTGTGTTTCAATATTAATACAATATTGTAAGGTCATCTTTGCACGTGGTAGTTATGTATCTAGTGAAAATTAACATATATATGAATTATGCTAGACAGTCTGAAGGTAAAGAAAAAAAGCACAGACATACAGTTCTCTCAGATTTCATTGCTTAATGGAATGAAAGCATCATGGCCGTGATTTTAAATTGCAGTTATTTAATATATGCAGATATATCCTGCATACAGTCAGTACTCTGCTTGCTGTGAAGTATTTATTTTAGTGTGGTAAAATGCCTAATGATAAAAGATTCAGTTATGATAAATTACAATAAAATCTGATTTGCACTGTTGAGAAAGTAGCTTAGGAGGGAACTAAGAAGTTACAGTCTCAGTGAACTGAATTTAGAAGAGCATGTCATATCAAATGTGGCTACAGTGTAGTTTATGAAGAGCAAACACAAAGGGTCAGGTTTAATTTGTCAGGCTTGATGAATCCCAAGAGAAAATGAGAGACATTCAAAGTTTTGATACAGAGATAGGGATTTCTTGAACAGCTACCTCCTTAAAAGTTACTTACTACATTTTATATCACTTTCAATGTTTTTAAAAAACTGAGCAGAAATTCCCTACAAGTCATCCCCCACCACTGTTTCCACTAACCTGAAAATACTAGAATGTGATAGAGCCCTATAATATACATTTTGATAGATTCTTTCTATTGCACATTATATTGATTTTGACAGATGTGTATGATATGCATCCATCTTCAGTACAAAGTAGATTTATAAACTTACCCTGTGCACTGTTTATTCCTCCAACCTTCTTTCAATATGTGGAATCAGTAGATCTTGTTATTGTGTATATGGTTGCTTTTTCTAGAATCTCATATAATTAAAAGCATACAGGATGACGTCTTTTGAGAATAATGTTCTCTTATCAATATACATTTAGTTTTCTTTGTGTGTTTCCTTGAGATGATAACTATATTTACTTTTAATCAGTTCAGTTCAGTCGCTCAGTTTTGTCCAACACTTTGCGACCCCATGAATTGCAGCACGCCAGGCCTCCAGGTCCATCACCAACTCTTGGGAGTCCACACGCAGCAGTGTTCTGTTCTTTGCATTAACTGCACTTTGTTTATCCACTCACTTTGTGTTTGTATAGTTATATGTAAAGGCATTATAAACATTCTTGTGCAGATTTGTATGGACTTAGTTTTTAACTCGTTTAGGTAAAAACTGAAGACCATGATGAGTGGATCATACTGTAAGAGTACTAATTACTTTCCTAAGAAACTGACAGCTATCTTCTAAAAAGACTTTTATTATGTTCATTGCCTCCCTCAATGACTGAGGCTTTTGTTTGCTCTAGCTTCTCCTACCAACTGAGTTTGTGAGTTTTAGGCAGACTCAAAGTACCACATAGTGAGTGTTTTATCAACAGCAGACTTTTATTTATCATATTCCTGGAGTCAGAGAAATCCAAGATCAAGCCATCAGCAGATTTTGATGTCTTTTGAGAGCTCTCTTTCTTATTCATAGTTGACTCTCTTCTCATTGTGCTTGCAGATTGCAAAAGGAATGTCTGTGGTTTCTTTTATGTATTTGTTTGTTCAGGCTATGCTGGGTCTTCATTGCTGCACAGGATTTTCTCTACAGTGAGGAGGGGCTGCTCTCTAGTTGTGTTGCTCAGACTTCTCATTGAGGTAGTTTCTCTTGTTGCAGAGCACGGGCCCGGTAGTGGTTCCTGAGCTCTAGAGCACAGGCTCAGTAGTCATGGTACACAGGCTTAGTTGCTCCCACAGCATGTGGGGTCTCCCTGACACATATATCAAACCCATGTTTCCTGCATTGATGGGCAAATTCCTTAGCACTGAGCAATCAGGGAAGCCCTTTGATGGTTTGTTTTATAAGACACACAAATTCCTTTCTTCAAAGCTCCAGCTTTTTTAACCTAATCACCTTTGAAGGCCTTGCTTCCACATACAGTGAAGATTTAACTTCAGTGTAGCATTTTTGGGGACACATTCAGTTGATAATGCTAGTGTTTGGGATTTTACTGATTCAATTAGGAGGTACTGATGCATCTGTTTTTTTTTTTAATCTAGTATAACCGATGATTTTTGGAGCATGTTCCAGTTCAGTTCAGTCACTAAGTCGTGTCCAGCCCTTTGTGACACCATGGACTATAGCTTGCTAGGCTCCCCTGTGCAATAGCAACTCGTGGAGCTTACTCAGACTAATGTACAGTGAGTCAGTGATGCCATCTGATATCTCATCCTCTGTCTCCTCCTGCCTTCACTCTTTCCCAGTCTCATGGTCTTTTCTAATGAGTCAGTTCTTCTCATCAGGTATCTAAAGTGTTGGAGCTTTAGCTTCAGCATCAGTCCTTGTGGCATCATCAACTCTATGGATGTAGAATTTGTGCAAACCCCAGAAACTAGTAATGGACAGGGAATCCTGGTGTGCTACAGTCTACGGGGTTGCAAAGAGTCAGACATGACTGAGTAACTGAACAGCAGTGCCTTTTGTAAATATATTTTCCTAGTCATTGTTTGCTTAAGCTGAAACTCCAATACTTTGGCCACCTCATGCAAACAGGTGACTCATTGGAAAAGACCCTGATATTGGGAGGGATTGGAGACAGGAGGAAAAAGGGATGACAGGGGATGAGATGGCTGGATGGCATCACTGACTCAATGGCCATGAGTTTGAGTAATCTCTAGGAGTTGGTGATGGAGGCTTGGTGTGCTGCGATTCATTGGGACACGAGTGAGCGGCTGAAGTGACTGAGTGACTGAGTCGTCATTTACCTTCTCATTCTGTTACAGTATCTTTCACAGAAGTTTTAAATTTTAATGAACTCCAGCTTACCAATTCTTTCTGTTATGACTGTGCCTTAGAAAGTATACTAAAAAAAGTTAGCACAATGCTACATAATTTCACCTATGTTACCTTCTAGGAGTTCTATACTTCTGCATTTTATATTTGAGTCTAAGGCTCACTTGGAGTTAATTTTTGTGAATGATGTAACATGTAAAAATTTTCCTTTTTCTTCTAAATAATTATAAAATGTTTATGTTTGTAAGTATTTTCAAGTGTGTCTTGTCTTTAGTTCTCTGTGTATGCTTTGTTTAGTTGAAGAGAACAGAGGCTACTGTAGTGGTGGTACATGGGTTTCTTCTTGTGGTGGCTTCCCTTGTTGTGGAACACAGGCTTTAGTGCACTGGCTTGGTAGTTGTAGCTCACAAGCTCAATAATTATGGCTTGCAGAATCCAGAGCACACAGATTTCGGTAGTTGTGGTGTATGGGCTTAGTTGCTTCATGGCATGTGAGATCTTCCTGGACCAGGGTTCATTCCTATGTCCCCTGATTAGCAGGCGAATTCTTAACTGCTTGACCACTAGAGAAGTCCCAAAGATTCTGTTTTCCGATGTGAATTCTCAGATTTTCCACACCATTCCTTGAAAAGACTGTGTATGCTTCATTTTATTGCCTGTGCTCCATTGTCAGAGATTAGTTGACTGTATTTCTGTAGGTTTATTTGTCTGCTATGTATTTTGTTCTGTTGATTATTTATCTGTTTCTTTGTCAGTACCGTGGTGCCGTGATTAATTTAGCTTTATATTAAAATCATTAGATAAACCTGTGTCAGTCCTCTAATGTACTTCAATATTATGTTGGACTTTGGGGGTCTTTTGTCTCTCCTTATTATGTGAGAATCACTTTGTTAAAAATTTGTTAAAAATAACATTGAATTTTTATTTGCTTGCATTGAATCTGTGACTCAAGTTTGTAAGTTTTACTTTTGAAGAATGTGGAAACTCTCCTGTTACTTAGTTATTTTTTAATCAGTTTTGTACTTTTTTCATATAGGTATTAGATACCTATTTCATTGAATTTTCCCTACATATTTCATTTTAGGACATGTGCCAATGTAGTTTTTATTGTTTAGTCTAAAGCATGTCTGACTCTTGCAACCCCGTCCTCTCTGATATTGGGATTCTCCAGGGAAGAATACTGAAGTGGGTTGCTATTTCCTTCTCCAGGGGTTGTCTGACTCAGGGATCAAATCTGTGTCTCCTACATTAGCAAACAGATTCCTTAGAAATTACAGCTGTTCGTTACTAGTATAGAAATGTGATTGCCTTTTGTATATTCACTGTATGTCTTGCAACATTTCTATTTTCTTACTAACCTTTCTTATTAGGTGTGTGGATTCTTTTAATTTCTTCATGAGCAATTACGTCAGTTTGAACAAAGATTTTTATTTTTTCCTTTTTAATTTTAATCTGTATACATTTTACATCATTTTCTTGTTTTGTTTTATCAGTTTGCTTTAGTGTGGTAGATGAAAGAGTGGTGAGACGGGAACATCCTTGCCTTCTTTTGTATGTTATTGGGGAATGCTTTGAGCCCAACTTAACATAAAATGTTAGCCAGAGGTTTTCTATAGATAATTATTAAGTGGAGGAAGTTCCTCTCTCTTCCTATTCAGTGACTAATTTTATCATACAAAAGTATTCAGTTTTGTCAGTTCTTTTGCTGCATCAGTTGTCTTGATCATGTAGTTTTTCTTTTTTAACCTGTGGATATGTCATGTATTATAATGATTGATTTTTTAAATGTTGAATGAACCTTGCATGCATTGGATAAATCCAATTTGGCCGTAGTGTTTCTGCATAGTTGGATGTGATCCGCTGATACTTTGTTGAGGACTTTTCTTTGGTCTGTAGTTTTCTCTCAGTGTTTTTAGTATTAGGATAGTCATTGTCCTTGACCTCATAGTATAGTTGAAAGATTGCATCTGCTTCTATTTTCTGGAACAGGTTGTTGAGCAGTGGCATAATTTTTCCTGAATTTTTGGTGGAACCCTTTATCAGTGACCTCATCTGGGCACTGTTGTGCTTTTTGTTCTGCAAAGTTCCTCAGTGATTGATTCAGTTTAAATAGCTACATGCTTATTATCGCTTCCTCTCAGTGTACTTTTTATTTTCTACTCTTTTGTCCTGCTGATCAGTATAGTTTTTATTAATACTTCTTCATTGTCTTGATTACTGTAACTTCAGAATATATTCTGAGATTTAGATGATATTTATATAACATTTTCTTTACATTTATAGTTGATTTTTTTAAAAAAACTGTTTGATTTTAAAAAACACTGTTGTATTTTTTTTAATCTTCATATAATTTTAGGGTCATTATGTCAGTTTGTACCAAAAGTATCCACTGGCACTTAATAGAATTCTGTTATGTGTGTAAGTCAAATTATTAATGTTTCAACCATAAATATAGTTTCTCTGCATTTACTTAGTTCTCTTTTAACTTCTCTCAGTCATCTTTTTCAGTTGTTATGAAAAGAATTGTATCCTTCATTTATTTTTGAAGTATTGCCTTAGTTATTTTGTAATTTCTCTTGTGATATCTTGATTTCAAACACTCAGAATTCTGATTTTGAACATTTTTCGAAGTTTTGGTATTTCTCAGATTATATTTTTCATTCTTGGTATTATTCTGTTTTGTTCAGGGGATATATTTTTTATGAGTTTAATTCTGTTTTGTTCAGGGGATATATTTTTTATGAGTTTAATTCTGTTATTGAGACTTGTATTTCTCCTAATCTGTCATGTGAGCTATAAAAGGAAACCTATTCTGTCCATATTTAGTGTCTAGTATTGTTGAATACAGAAAGAGGAAGGACCTCACAGAAACAGAAGAGATTAAGAAATGACTAGAATACACAGAAAAATTATATAAGAAAGGCCTTTTTTACTGGGATAACCACAATGGTGTGATCACTCACATAGACCCAGACATCCTGAAGTGTGAAGTCAGGTGGGCCTTAGGAAACCTCACTGTGAACGCTAGTGGAAATGATGAAATTTCAGCAAGCTATTTGAAATCCTAGAAGATGATGTTCTTAAAGTTCAGCACTCAGTATATCAGCAAATTTGGAAACTACATCTGTAGCCACAGGATTGAAAAATGTTAGTTTTCATTTGAATCCCAAAGAAGGGCAGTGCCAAAGAATGTTCAGTCTACCATACAATTGCACTCATTTCATAAGCTAGCAAAGTAATGCTCAAAATCCTTCAAGCTAAACGTCAACAGTACATGAACTGAGAACTTCCAGGTGTACAAGATGGATTAGGAAAGGCACAGGAACCAGAGATCAAATTGCCAACATCCATTGGATGATAGAGGAGTAAGGGAGTACCAGAAAAACATCTACTTCTCCTTCACAGACTGCTCTAAAGCCTTTCATGATGAATCATAAGAAACTGTGGAAAATTCTTAAAGAAATGGAAATACCAAACCACCCAGCCTGTCTTCAGAATAACTTGTAAGCAGCTCAAGAAGCAACAGTTGGTATGAGGCATGAAACAAGGAACTGGTTCAGAATTAGGAAAGGAGTCCGTCAGGGCTGTATATTGTCATACTGCTTATTTAACTTACACGCAGAGTACATCATGAGAAATGCTGGACTGGATGAAGCACAAGCTGGAATCAAGATTGCCAGGAGAAATATCAATAACCTCAGATATGCAGATGACACCACCCCTATGGCCGAAAGTGAAGAAGAACTAAAGAGCCTCTTGATGAAACTGAAAGAGGAGAGTGAAAAGTTGGCATAAACCTCAACATTCAGGAAACTAAAATCATGGCATCTGGTCTCATCATTTCATGGCAAGAAGATGGGGAAACAATGCAGATAGCAAGAGGGTTTATTTTTAGGGGCTCCAAAAGCACTGCAGATGATGACTGTAGCCATGAAATTAAAAGATGCTTGCTCCTTGGAAGAAAAGCTGTGACCAACCTAGCCAGTATATTAAAAAGTAGAGACATCACTTTACTGACTAAGATAAAGTGACTTTACTGTCTAGTCAAAGCTGTGGTTTTTCCGGTAGTTACATATGGATGTGTGAGTTGGACTATAAAAAAAGGTGAGTGCCAAAGAATTGATGCTTTCTAACTGTGGTGCTTTAGTAAACTCTTGAGAGTCCCTTGGTCTGTAAGGAGTACAAACCATTCAATTTTCAAGGAAAGTGGTCCTGAATATTCATTGGAAGGTCTGATACTGAAGCTGCAGCTCCAGTATGTTATCTACCTGATGCGAAGAGCTGACTCATTAGGAAAGAACTTCACTGATGCTGGGAAAGATTGAAGTTATTCCTTGGAAAAAATTAATAGATTTCATATGCTTTCTTTGAGGATAGCTATTACTTTTCTATTACAGATTCAATATTTTAAAGGATTGGTATATACCATTTCCATATTGAATGTAATACATTGTTATGTTTGGTGATCTGGTTTATTTAGGATGTGTTCATAACTTTAATCAGTAATGACTATATGTATGTTCTTCCATATCTGAATTTAGTGAGTCATTTCTCTTTTAATGAAAATGTTGGTATCTCTGAATTGGACACTAAAATTTCTCAAAGACATCCATGAAGAATTATGTTGCCACACTAGTAAATGAAATCCGTTATGTAGCCCAGAAATATGATTTTCCCTGAAGGTTACGAACCATTTTAATAATAAGTTTATGAAACTTTTAAAAATTGATTTTTATGATTTTGGTTCATATTATGTTACACATTTAGTTGTTTAGCTTTTAGTTAACATTTTTAGTCCTCAGTGTTGTTCTCTGTGTGCAGTAGGTGTTTAGTATTTTGCTGGAACTTACAGTATTGAATTTTAAAAGTCTGTTTTCCTCTTTTTTTTTTAGGGGTTTAACAAAGGTCAAAATTCACATTTGCCAGGATCTAATGATGAACAGCCTTCATTTTCCACTGATCCTGCCCTCTATCTCCAGGCGGCTAGCACTAATATTCAGACTTCACATAGGATGCTGTCTAGTAGTTCAGTAACACAGGGAACTGCTTTCAATCACCTCTCTCATGTTGCTACCTCAGGTGACCAACAAAGAGTTTGTTGTACCAAAGAGAGCACACCTTCAGGAAATGGATCTTTTGTGCCTGAAATAACCAGTCATACTGAAGATAAACCTAATGGCTGTGCTGGTGTCAAGGGGCTTTCTAACCATGTTCAGCAGTTGATGGCAGAACTTATTTGCAGTCCTAACAGTGGAGATTCTACATCACCAAATCTAATTTCAGACAATCCTCAGATCTCTTCCTTGTTGATTGGAAAAGCCAATGACAGTGTGATGGCTGGAGCATATGACAAAGTCAATAGTACTCACCAAGAAAGTCATACAAAGACTAATAATTCTGTTGCCTCTTTACACTCTTCAGTCATTTCTACAGCTGCTCCAAAATCTGCTAACCAGACCACCACCCTTGGTGTTACCAGCATTAGCAGTCCTCACATTAGGTTACGAACAATTAATGGAAAAGGGCTAGAGAACTCACAGAGCTCTAAAAAGACAAGCCTGTCTATGATTAGCTGCAAACCTGATTCTCAGATCATACCATCCATGTCTGTGTCCATATACTCAAATTCTACAGAAGTTCTGAAGGCATGCAGGTTAGTATGGGAAAGTTTATCACAAATTGAAAATAGTTCACTTCTAAATTGATCAGAAAACTGAAATAATATTTGTGTTTTATAAGAAATATAAAAGATAATTACGTAGTCATTTGTCTAAAACAGCTATTTCACAAGGAACTTTTTATTCCTCAGTATTGTACATAAACTATCAGTGTATTACATATGAAAAGCATTTTCTACAACATACTGTGAGAAGCATATCTCTAGTATTACTGACTCCTTTTGATTATCACAGTTGTTACCATATTCTCTATGATTGGGGATTGAAACCAGTGAATGGATTAAATTATATTTGATAGAAAATCTGTAAAACTTTATTGATTGTTTTCTTTCTGGCAACATTTTCTGTGATTTTGGAAGAGGTTCTAAACAGGCAGGAGTGACAAGAGAAAGGAATAAAGATTGGAGAAATGTTAATAGACCACCAGTCACTTTGGGAAGTCAAGCTATATTCTAAGAAGAATGGCCCTGAAAAATTTATTTCTTAAATGGGTTTCATTGCCTTCAAGCAAAAAAGACTCAAAAGATGAGAAACACTTTCTTTGATATTGTGAAATTGTATTAATTTCCACATTCTGCAGTCTTACTCATTCACGTTTTTTGAAAATACCTTTATTAAGATATAATTGACACACCTTACAATATATCCCTTTAACATGTGCAATACAATGGTTTTCAGTATATTTCCATATAATACACCAACCACCAGCACAATTTTTCAGCAGTATTACCATCTCAGAAAGAAAACTGTTGTACACATTTTAAAGTAGTGTTTTTAATTCTGTTTGTTTGAAATACGGTCTAAAATTAATTATCTGTTTCTCATACTTACATGCTGTATAGAAGAGTAGAACTTGTGTGATAGTTAAAATACCAGGGGTAATGCTTCTGTCTAACTTTCTAAAACATTACATCTGAAATCTGAATAATAATAGGGATTATAATGAAATAAAATAGAACATATATACATTAAATATAAAGCTGAAAATTATTTTTATCTACTTTGACTACTTTAATTCAGGTTTTGAATTTCAAAGATAAGAAAAGAATTATTGCTTAATTACTATAAGTCTTACGAAACTGGGAGTCTTTACCTCTCTTCTCTATTGCTGAAACTAAAACATGTTTAGATTTTTCAGACAGTTTGATTATCTTTTTAGAAACCATCACCGATCAGCCATTGAATATGCATTACAAAATTCTAAGCTGACACAAGTCTTAAATGTTTATATAGTTTGTACTTGCAGTTACTGGGGATAGAATAATAGAGAAATGGAAATAAGTGATATTTTAAAAAATATATGAGTAATTCAAATTAAATTTTTGCCTTTCATAGTGGATTAAATTTTAATTTTTGCGTCTTATTTTATAAATTATATATAAGCCTCATTATGGGGTACCTTTTGTAGATTGAATTTTAAGTTCTAAGCCACTAAAAGGACTTGTTTTATTACTAAAAACATGTAAATTTGTAAGTTGCAAATAACTGCATACAGATGCATGGTTTTCCAGTAAGTTTGGCTGGCAATTTACTAGTGAAAGGATACCATCACCATCTCCAAAGGTTGTAAAGAGAAAAAATAAATAATACAAGAGAAAGTAAGGAGGAAAGAAGATGAATGTCAGGTCTTGAATTGAGGATAAAATTACTCCAGTTTAACACAGCCAAATAGATAACACATAACAACTGTCATGTGGAACAATTCCTGTTACTCAATGCTGATGTGTTCTTTACTGGACTGAATTCTGATTAGTTCAAGGAATCATCAGTTGAGAAGGTTTAATCACTCTGTATAAGAAACTGATTAAGAAAAAAAAATCTGTATATTAGTTTATCTGTAGAGCACCTCCCCCTTTTTTGTATTTAAATGTGTTCAAAAGTAAGTTCACAGTAGGATATTGTTAAGTATGGTATTTTTAAAGTAATTTTTCAGTAATAATACATTTTTGCAACAGTGAGATAGCCTTAGTCTTTCCACCTCCACTTTTTTCCCCCAACTTCATTTCTTTCCCATTTGGATTTTTATGGTAACTTTTTCTTAGAAGAGCAGTGAAGTCATACCTGGGTAGACATTCATGTGTTTCTGTTGTTCAACCTGTTCTTATTGTTTAGGTTTGATAGGTATTTTACAAAGGGGAAAAAAGGTATGGTTCCTTTGTTTTCAAAACCATTGGTTCTTTTAGTAATTAACTTTAGATTCTGATTTGACTAACTCATAGGGACATCCTAATGGATCTTTTGATCTCATTTTACTTTTTGACCAGAGTGTTCTCTTTTGTTATATTTCTTAGAAAAATTTTAAGGGTTATTAAAATTTTAAACTGCCAATGTTTGGTTTCATTTGTAACATTTTTGCTTCTGTTAAAATTTTAAAATGTAATTTTAGCATTTAAATAATTGGCCCAGTTTTGGGTTCCTTGCTCTTGCCTCATGTTTATTTATTTTTTCTGTTTTCATATTTAATTTTACTTTGAATTGCTTGAGTTTTCTGTGTACTCTTAATTTACTTGTTATTAGACTATAAAAATCCTACAAGCAGAATTACACTTTCTGTCACTCTTTTTTCATATACAGAATGGTAAATAAGGTTTAAAAATTTTTTTCAAGTACAATTAAATCCTTGATCCATATGGTAGGGTATTCTAAAATGTTTATATTATATTGTAGTACATCTCTCACTAGTAAGCAAGTCTTTTATAATCAAACTTAAATCATTTTGTGGAAAGTATAGAATGACAAACATAATTAAGCATTGAAACCAGTTCCTTTTATTATATAGAGATTGTAATTGACTCTTAATGCATTGTTCTTAGGAGGATATATTTTCTCCTATATTAGCTTCTAGCATGTATTTTGGTTGTAAAATCAGTTCTGTGGAGTTTATAAATTAGAATCATATTTTTAAATTTAGAAGCTTAAGATACAGGCAACTTGAACCACTCAAGTCACTATGCTTTGTGGGTGGATAATGAAACCTAGATACTGATTTAACATTTAAATTTAATTGCTAGTTAACTGTAATATTTTCATGTAATATACATATGTAAATTGTTTAAAAATAGAAAAGTCTGCATTTTAAACTTAATTTGTAACTATATAAACCCTATCACAGGGAATCCTCTGGTGGTTCAGTGGTTAGGACTTCCTTTGCCAAAATCCCTCTTTGATCCTTAGCCAGGTAACTAAGGCCAAAATAGGCTGTACACACTTCAAACTGTTTTTTATGGCATTTCAAAGTTGATAACTACTGCATCTGAAACTTTAGTTTTCATTAGTTCAACCAAAAAAATCCTGTTTCAGGCTTTTCTTTCCTTTAGCAAAAGTAAAGCTAAACAAGGAATGGTGATTTTACTTTGACTTGTGTAGTTGTATAATATGAAATTTTAAATATAATTTGTAATTTGTTCTTCAAAAATACAAATATTTGTTCTGAAGAAACAGTGTATATTATTTTACTTTACAAAATAGAGCTTTTATATTTTTATCTTAAATTTGAATGTTTTAAGAGCTATTTCCTTTTGTATTTTAATTCATTGATGATATTTCACTTTCAGTGAATGTTAGAAACTTAAATGGATTTCAGAGGTTTGATAGTTTTCTGTATTTGTTTCTGAGTTTAAAATGTAAGGATTTAAAAATATCCCTTTAATGGTCTTGTACTAAAAAGAGATTTTGAGTTTGGACATAGCAGTTACATTTTAAGAATCTGTAACTTAGCAAACATGATATCTTTCACCGAATGAAAAAATTGAAATCAAGTAAAAATTAAATACAATGTGAGAATATTTAGCAACTGTTCATATTAATTTAAAAATTATTGTTGTCTGGAGTCTTGCTTCATTTTGGAGACCTGAGAGAAAACAAGTTTTGACAGTAAAAAACAAATGGTCTTTCTCAGTTTGAAAGCTGTCATGAAGATGATCTGGAAATAAGATATAGGAAAAGAGAAAAATCTTAGTGTGAAATTATATAAAGGTTATATAAACCTTTTTTTGGTTCAGTTTTTTGTTTTAACATTACATGAAGAAAATATAAAGGTGAAATACGACAAAAAGTTTGAAGTTCCTATTCTTTTGGTGAGGAAATAAACTAGAAAACTATCAGAAAAACTACTTTATGAATAATTTCATGTTATATGTTTATATATTATATTTAGCTTTTCTTATGGTACAAGAAATCAAAGTGACTGTCTGTTAAAATTACCTCTTCTTTTTTTCTGAATTGAAATGAATATTTTAGAATGATTTTAGTATAAACTTCATCTGCCTAGACAGAGGCTGAGATGGTTGAATGACATCACCGAGTCAATGGACATGCATTTGGGTGGATTCTGGGAGTTGGTGATGGACAGGGAAACCTGGCCTGCTGTGGTTTGTGAGGTTGCAAAGAGTTGGACACAGCTGAGTGACTGAACTGAGCTGAACCTAGAGCTTCAGATTTTTCTCTTGTTTTAATGTCCTGCTTTTACAGTCATTGCATAACTGATATATCTCTTCTAATTGTTTTCTAGGAACTTAGATAAAAATGGCTTGTCTAATAGTCATAATTTGTTGGATAAATGTCCACCTCCAAGACCACCAACTTCTCCATACCCACCATTGCCAAAGGACAAGTTGAATCCACCCACACCTAGTATTTATGTAAGTCTTCTTGCTAATTGGTTATAAGCCACGTATCTAAACTTGTCTGCCTTTAGATATATTTTTAAGCCAATGCAGATCTTCTTAGAGAAAACTAAATTTTTTCTGTAAAGTTGAAAGCTTTGGAAAAACATGTTTGTGTCCTAGAGGATAACAAACAGCATCTCTCAGATTAAATATGGTCTACTACTTCTTTTTGTAAGTGAAGTTCTATTGTGCATTGTAATATTCATTTATTTATATGTTATCTGATTGCTTTGCACTTGGTCAGCATCCTTAACTAGTTGCAAAAGAGAATAGTTCATAAAACAAAAAATATTTACCATTTGTCCTTTCTTAGAAAAGGTTTTGGCACTGGTGTACTCTAGAAAGATTTTTTGAAGAGAATATTTAAATTTAAAGTGTCTCTCACTCAAGGACTGAGATTCTCTGAGAGTAGCAATAGATAATTGTTTTAGTTTTTTGTTTACATGATTGTAAATCTACATTCTGCCATCTTATGGACCTTCATTTTGTGCTTCAAATTAAAGCAAAAATTTTTGTAAATGACAAAGTGGATAAAAATATGGAAATTATGATTAGTGCATGTCACTAAAAAGGTTCAGAATAAGTAATTAAAAATTTTCAATTTGAAGCTAAATGTTTTTACTTTTGGGGAATTTAGGCCTTTGGTAAAGAAAATTGATTTAAGTTAGAACAATTTCTGTGATTTTTTTTTTTTCTGAAGTGTTGCTGCTGTCCATCTGTAAACTATCCTGTTGTAAGATAAAAGAAAAATTTCCAAGCTAAATTTTGAAGAGTAAATATTTAGAGTGATGTTATGTAAGAGACCAGTTTGGAAATCTGGCCCCTTTTTAAACTAGATGCTGAAGGAAGGTTACTTGGCTCAAAATAGCCTGGAGTTAAAATTCCCCTCCAAGTCCCCCCAACCATTCTATGCAAAACAAAGAACTCTCCCACCCAAAAAAAATTAAAGTTGTTACACCCAACTCCCAGCTTGTCTAGCCTCTGGCCTATCTTCAATAGTCCTTGCCCCAGCCCTTTAAGAGATGACTACTATGAACAACCTTGCAGAAGAACAGGCCCCCTTATGACAGTAGTTTTCCACATGTATGTACTTACTATTTTCTTGGGTTAGTGCAGTAGCTTGCTAATCTGACTGCTGCCCCTTCTTGCCACATTAAAGTTTCCTGTAAAGTGCTGGTTTCGTTCTTTGTCTGAACCTTGCCTTCTGTAACTCCCTTATCCTACAGATGCTGTATAAAACCAAATTTTCCTCTTAACTTACCACATTAGTGTACACTGACTTATTGTGAAAGGAAGGGCTAGTTATAAAAATAAAGCTGAACCCCTGAAACTGCACTTTTGGGGATTAAATGCAAACTGGAGATTTATCTTTTTTGAGTGTTACTGAATCATTTTTTATTTTGATAATAGTCTTTAAAACACTTTCTATATTTAAGTTTATATTTTACTTTTTCCATACCTCTTCTATAAGAATTGTGGAGGTATACTTGGTAAGTACACTTGGGAAATGCTTTTGAGCTGCTAACCTTTTTCAATCTTTTTGTGAGTATTGTGATCTAAGAACTTAACACCATTTCAGAATTTATTAAAGTGTATCTCTTTTAAAGATAAAATTATATAGTGATTTTCTCCTAGTAGAATGTTCCTGAAAGGATTAATGCTAAAACACTGTAGTATACAGCACTCAGTGTTAATGGCTAAAGTATATTGTTGATGTAAAAATGCCTGGACAAAAAATGAAAACATATTTCAGGATAGTACTTAGTCCTTTTCTGAAATCTAACAAAACATTTCAATTTTACAGTTGGAAAGTAAACGTGATGCTTTCTTTCCTCCATTACATCAATTTTGTATAAATCCCAAAAACCCCGTTACAGTAATACGTGGCCTTGCTGGAGCTCTTAAATTGGGTAAGTTTTTTAAAAAAGTTGAAACATTTCTCTTACTATCTGTCATTTTTCAAAAAGCTGTCAGAAACACACTTTTTCCTAGATGTTTCCCCCAGTTTTTATTTTAATGGTAGGAAACTATTAAGCCATTTTCATGGTAGGAAGCCACCTTCTTTCTGTTTCTGTCACTTTAGCACATTATTAACATGATGCCTATGTTAGCCAGTGACAACTTTTGATACATTTTTACTTCTTTTTAATTTGGTTTTATTAGGCATCATGAATGACTTGGGTTAGTTGATGGAAGACGTTTTGCAGTGTAAGATGTAGGTAAAATTAGATCCAGAGCCTGCTTATGTCCTTCAGTTCCTTGTTACACCTTGTCACAGTGGTTAAATCTTATGATTCGTGGGACTGCTGTGGAAGTTTGGCCCTCATATTTTGCAGGGAGTAGCACATCTAGAATTTGTTTGGTAATACCTCAAGGAAGCCGTATTTCTCTCATGTGGCTTGAAGCAGTCTTTAGAGAAGTGGATGGAATGTCATAAAGAATTTTTTTAAACTTTTGAAACGTTCATTATACCAAACGTAGTTTTATTTTTTTATTACAATTTATTTATTCATGTAGATCTAGGGCTTTTCTCTACTAAAACTTTGGTAGAAGCTAATAATGAACACACTGTAGAGGTGAGAACACAGTTGTTGCAACCAGCAGATGAAAACTGGGATCCCACTGGAACAAAGAAAATCTGGCGTTGTGAAAGTAATCGATCTCATACTACAATTGCTAAGTATGCACAGTACCAGGCCTCCTCCTTCCAGGAGTCATTGAGAGTAAGTGTTTTTTCCTGGAGATTTTTTTTTCTAAATTAAATGCAATTGCTTCTCTAACAGTGTATTCAGTTAATATAATTTGGTTTTGTAAGTATTACAGTTAACGAAAGATTAAACTGTTGCAGGTTTAAATGAGGTTACATTAGCCAGAAGTACAGATTGTTAATAGAGAAAATACTGTTTTATAGCATATCCTTATTTTTGAAATGTTTCTATTTAAAATTATAAAGTAAATAGGTTTACGTAGTAGTTGCAGGCTGATGTTACTACGAACAATAGTATCTGGGCATTGCTGTCATTTTTAATTGGCTTGTAAAAAGGCATTTCCTTTTCATTTTATCTGAAAGATGCTCTATAAAGAAGTGTTAGTTTTCTTTCTGTGTCATTAATAGTGTCTAAATAAAACCACAAAAGAAACAGAAATTTACAAAAGCATCTAAAAATATTCTTTGCCTTATTCAGTATACTACTGGGGACTGCTTTGAGCCTGACTTCACATATGATTAAATAAAAAGATGCTTACTCCTTGGAAGAAAAATTAGGACCAACCTAGACAGCATATAAAAAAGAAGAGACATTACTTGGTCAGCAAAGGTCCATCTAGTCAAGGCTATGGTTCTTCCACTAGTCATGTATGGATGTGAGAGTTGGAGTATAAAGAAAGCTGAGTGCTGAAGAATTGATGCTTTTGAACTGTGCTGTTGGAGAAGACTGTTGAGAGTCCCTTGCACTGCAAGGAGATCCAACCTGTCCATCCTAGAGGAAATCAGCCCTGAATACTCATTGGAGGTATTTATGTTGAAGCTGAAACTCCACTAGTAGCTGAAACTCCACTACCTGATGTGAAGAGGTGCCTCATTTGAAAAGACCCTGATGCTGGGAAGGATTGAGGGCAGGAGGAGAAGGGGATGACAGAGGATGAGATGGTTGGATGGCATCACTGACTCAATGGACATGAATTTGAGTAAACTCCGGGAGTTGGTGATGGACAGGGAGACCTGGTATGCTGTAGTCCATGGGGTCACAAAGAGTTGAGCATGACTGAGTGACTGAACTGAACTGAACGGTTTTCTATAGATAATTATTAAGTGGAGGAAGTTCCTCTCTCTTCCTATTCAGTGACTAATTTTATCATACAGAAGTATTCAGTTTTGTCAGTTCTTTTGCTGCATCAGTTGTCTTGATCATGTGGTTTTTCTTTTTTAACCTGTGGATATGTCATGTATTATAATGATTGATTTTTTAAATGTTGAATGAACCTTGCATGCATTGGATAAATCCAATTTGGCCGTAGTGTTTCTGCATAGTTGGATGTGATCCGCTGATACTTTGTTGAGGACTTTTCTTTGGTCTGTAGTTTTCTCTCAGTGTTTTTAGTATTAGGATAGTCATTGTCCTTGACCTCATAGTATAGTTGAAAGATTGCATCTGCTTCTATTTTCTGGAACAGGTTGTTGAGCAGTGGCATAATTTTTCCTGAATTTTTGGTGGAACCCTTTATCAGTGACCTCATCTGGGCACTGTTGTGCTTTTTGTTCTGCAAAGTTCCTCAGTGATTGATTCAGTTTAAATAGCTACATGCTTACAGATTATCTCTTCCTCACAGTGTTGCATTTGATAGATTGTATCTTTCAAGGAATTGGGTCATTTTATCTAGGTTATCGTATTTGTGAGTGGAGTGATTCCTAGCATTCTTTTGTTATCCTTTAATGACCATGGGGTTTGTAATAATGATCCATCTTTTAATTATGTTATTAGTAATTTCTGTCTCTTGGATGGCATCACTGACTCAATGGACCTGAGTTTGAACAAGCTCCAAGAGTTGATGATGGACAGGAAAACCTGGTGTGCTTAGTCCATAAAGTTGCAAAGAGTTGAACGTGACTGAGTGACTGACCAGAACTGTCTTCTGTATTTATTTTCCAGCCAAGTTTTATCAATTTTATTGGTTGTTTCAAAGGGCCAAGTTTTGGTTTCATTGACCTTTCTCTTTTGACTTTGTATTTTCAGTTTTCCTGACTTTAACTTTTCTTCATATTTCTTTTCTTTTGCCCTTCTAATGGATTTATTTGCTCTTGTTTTCCATTTAATTTTCTTGTAGAGTGAAACTTAGATGATTGATTTCAGATCTTTTTTTTTTTTCTATTATGTATATTAGTTGCTCTGAATTTCGTGCCAGTCACTGTTTTGGGTGTATTTCCAAATTTACTAACGTTTCTATTTTCATTATAACTCAGTTCAAAATAATTCTTAGTTTTTTTAGAGGGTATTTTCAACAGTATATTGTTTAGTATCAGTGTGTTTTTGAATTTTCTATCTTTGTTTGTTTTACTGATTTCTGCATTATTTCCATTGTTACCTGATAGGAAGTATTGTATTATGTCTTTACTCTTGAATTTGCAAAGGTATGGATAGTGACCTGGAATGTGGTCTCACTGAATATTCTGTGTGAACATCAGAGAAATATGCAGTTTTTGACGTAAGAACCCTGAAAGGCACAAACGAAACCTTCTGAGCATCAGGACCTAGGGTAAAGGAGCAGTTGACCACACACGAGACTGAGCCAGACCTGCCAGTAACCCCATAAGATATTGAGGCAGACCTGCTTATGGGTCTCCTGTGGAGGTGCTGGTGAAAATGGCCTGTCTCTGGGTCAGGGGCACTGGTGGCAGCAGTCTTGGGAAGTGCAGCTTGTTTGTGTAAGTCCGCTTACAGGAGGTCACCATTAGCTTTTCCATAGGGCCTGTAGCCCTACCATAGGGACTGCAGACTTCCAGCACTGGCCTGCCTCAGGCCAAATCAACAGGGAGGGAGCATATCCCTACCTATCAGCTGAAAATTTGATTACAGATTTATTGAACATCACCCTGCCCACTAGAGCAAGACCTGGTTTTCCCCACAGCCTGCCTGTTCCATTAGGAAGCTTGTACAAGCCTCTTTACTCATCCATCAGAGGGCAGACAGAAGCAGCAAGAAGTGCAGTTCCATGGACTCCAGAACGAAAACCACAATCACAGAAAGCTAACCAAGTGATGGATCACAGCCTTGTATAACTCAGAAAAACTATGAACCATGACATGGCTGGCCAGCCAAGATAAATGGGTCACTGAGGTGAGTCCTGACAAACTAGGTCCACTGGAGGAAGAAATGGCAAGCCACTTGAGTTTTCTTGCTTAGAGAACCCCATAAACAGACAAATTTTTGTCCCATCAAAAGGTAAAAATATGTGACACTAGAGGATGACGACCCTCCCCCCCCCCCCGATTAGTAGGTGTCTGATATGCTACTGGAGAACAGTGGAGAAATAACTCCATAAACAGTGAAGAGACTGAGCTAAAGCGGAAATGTTGCCCAGGTGTGGATATGTCTTGTGGTGAAAGTAACAACTGTTGCTGTAAGGAACAATACTGCACATGAACCTGGAATGTTAGGTCTGTGATTCCAGGTAAATGGGACATGAGTCAGGCAGGGGAAGGCAAGAGTGAACATCAACGTCTTAGAAATCAGTGAACTAAAATGCATGGGAATAGGTGAATGGAATTTAGATGACCATTATATATACTCCCGTGGGCAAGAATCCCTTAGAAGAAATAGAGTAGCCATCATAGTCATCAGAACAGTCCAAAATAAACTACTTGAGTGCAGTCTCAAAAATGACAGAATGATCTCAGTTTATTTCCAAGACAATTCAGTATAACAGTCATTCAAGTCTATGCCTCAACGAAGAAGCTGAATTTGAATGGTTCAGTGAAGAACTGGGAAACCTTCTAGAACTAACACCAAAAAAATATCTTTTTCATCTTAAGGAATTGGAATGCAAATGTACATAGTCAAATACCTTGCGTAACAGGCAAATTTGGCCTTGGAGAACAAAATGGGGGCGGGAGTGGGGTGGCAAAGTACAAAATGAAGCTGAGCAAAGCCTAACCAAGTTTTTCCAAGAGAATGCAAGTCATAGCAAACACCGTCTTCAAACAACCTCAGAGGTTATTCTACACATAGATATCACCAGATGGTCAGTACTGAAATCAGATTGATTATATTCTTTGCCACCAAGGATTGAGAAACTCTATATTCAGCGAAGAGAAGACCTACAGCTGGTTGTGGCTCACATCCAAGCTACTTATTGCAAAATTCAGGTTTAAATTGAAAGTGGGGAAGTTCAGTAGACCATTCACATATGACCTAAACAAATACCCTATGACTATTTAGCAGATGTGACAAATAAAGTCAAGGGATTATTAGTCTGGTAGACTGAGTGCCAGAAGAATTATGCATGGAGTTTGATATTGTTGGAGAGGAGGAAGTAACCAAAATAATCCTAAAAGAAAAGAAATGCAAGAAGGCAAAACTTCCCTGGAGAAGGGAATGTCACTCCACTCCTGTATTTTTGCCTGGAGAATAACTTGGACAGAGGGGTCTGGTGGGCTACAATCTATGGAGTCACAAACCATTGGACATAATTTAGCAAATAAGTACACAGATACAAACATGGCACAATGTTACATGCTATTTATATACCAGTTATAACAGAGGATTAATATTTTTCTCTTTTTTTTTATGCTTTTATTTTATATATTAGAAATTCTGACTTGTATAATTTTTCTTCTTCAAAAAACTAAATTTTCTTCCAGGCCAAGGCAGCTTTTTTCTAGCAAGTATAAATTTTTGTCCATCAGAAAAACTTTCTCTTTTACTCTTGAAGAATGTCTGGGGGTATAAAATTCTAGTGTGATTTTATTTTTATTTCCATTTGAATGTCTTCTTGCTTACATTTTGAAGAAGATGTGAATGTTATGTTTCGGTTGAGTTCAGTTCAGTTGCTCAGTCATGTCTGACACTTTGCGACCCCATGAATTGCAACACACCACGCCTCCCTGTCCATCTCCAACTTCCCGAGTTTACTCAAACTCATGCCCATCGAGTCAGTGATGCCTTCCAGCCATCTCATCCTCTGTCGTCCTCTTCTCCTCCTGCCCCCAATCCGTCCCAGCATCAGGGTCTTTTCCAGTGAGTCAACTGTTCGCATGAGGTGACCAAAGTATTGGGGTTTCAGCTTCAGTATCAGTCCTTCCAATGAACACCCAGGACTGATCTCCTTCAGGATGGATTGGTTGGATTTCCTTGCAGTCCAAGCGACTCTCAAGAGTCTTCTCCAACACCACAGTTCAAAAGCATCAATTCTTCAGTGCTCAGCTTTCTTCACAGTCCAACTTTCACATCCATACATGACTACTGGAAAAACTCTTGACTAGAAGGACCTTTGTTGACAAAGTAATGTCTCTGCTTTTTAATATGCTATCTAGGTTGGTCATAACTTTCCTTCCAAGGAGTAAGTGTCTTGTAATTTCATGACTGCAGTCACCATCTGCAGTAATTTTGGAGCCGTAAAAAGTAAAGTGTGACACTTCTTCCACTGTTTCCCCATCTATATTATTATGTTTAGATGAGTATAAATGAGATTTTTTTATTTTCTGTGGTTCCATTGCATATTTTCTCTTATCTTTGATTTTATATAGTGTAAGTTTTATATGCCTAACTTTATTTAGGGTTTGCCCCTTTTTCCTTCTTGCTTTTACCCAGAACCTCTATATTCGTGTTTTCATACCTCTTTCATTGGTAGGGGATGTTTACGTATTTCTAGTTTGCTTATTGGCTTAAATTTTTATTTCTTTTAGCAAATGAGGAATTTGGGATCTATGTTACCTGATCAGGGATTGATTCTTGGGCCCCAGCAGTGAGAGTGCTGAGTTTTAAACATTGGACTGCCAGGGAATTTCTTCTTGGTTCATTTATTTCTGCTCTATCAACATTGCCGATTTGATACATCTTTTTAACTTTCTGTACAATTCTTGCTTATTCTGATTTGTTTGTTTGTGAACTGTTTTTGGTCTATTTTTCCTTCTTTTTCAGATTTAGGAATTTCTTTTCAGATACCCCCATGACAAATTACTTCTTTTTAGAATTCTTTGCATACTAAACTATAAAATTTTTTTCTCAGAATGCCATCATTTATGTTATGTCAGAGACTGTTCTTGTGTCTTGGTATGGGTTTTTAAGCTGTGCATCTGAGTTTTCCCATACCTTGTTGTGCTGGATAAAAGGAACTGCTATAATTAGGCTTTTAGTCATGTATTGGTAGAAGTATTGAGGTAGGGGATATTCTGCTATCTTATGATTTGGTCTTAGTCCTTGTGAAGCATGTGCCTCTCTACTTTGAACCTCATTAGTGCTTCATGCTTGTTTTTCCCCCTGTTCTTTCAGTAGAACTGAATGTGTAGATTCGGCTGGAGTTTGGTATTTCTCGCTTCTCTGGAGATGTTTTCGTTGTTTAATTGCTCAGTGGTATCCGACTCTTGAAACTCCATGAACTATAGCTCTCCAAGCTCCGCCGTCCATGGAATTCCCCAGGGAAGAATACTGGAGTGGGTTACCATTTCCTTCTCTAGGGGATCTTCCTGTCCCACAGATCATACCCATGTCTCCTGCACTGGCTGATAGATTCTTTACCACTGAGCCACCATGGAAGCCTCTGTGGACATGTAGGTCCTAATAAAAATTCCAGAAAATTAGCCTGTGATTAAGGAGCTTCTTCTGAGTGCCGATTTTGCTGTAAAGAAGAGAATCCTCTGGTATATTTCAGAAAGGGATGTTTTTCTGATATTGTCTGTGGTGTTTCTTTCCCCAGCAGAGTATCCATAGAGTTTTCTGGTCCCATTAATTTTAGTTTCTATTTTTCACTGCTTTTTCCAAAAAAAACTTTTGGACACAGCAGTTTAATCTGTATTCTTTTACTACCATGAGACTGCTTAATTGTTTTTAAGGAAGAAATGGCTAGTTCCGGATCTCTTATATGTTTTACTGAATCATTAGTAAAGGATTTAATTTTCCCTACCCTGTAAGTTGTGTTTTCACTTTTTCTTGATGGTGTCCTTTGAAGCATGAAAGTTTGGGTGAAAATTTTGTTTTAACTGCTTTATTTTTGATGACATAGCTAAGAAAGGTTTATCTGGTAGTCATGCAGACATACTCTTTGTTTTGTTGTAAGAGTTTCATAGTTATATGTCTTATATTAGGTCATTGGCTCCATCTTGAGAGAATTTTTCTCTTTAGTAAAAGGTTCATGTCTAACATTTATTCTTTTCACTATGGGTTTCTATAGTTTCCGTACATTTCTTCATTGAATAACTTTGGCACCTTTGTCAAGAGAGTAACACATTTTTATTTAGATTTAAGTTCCTTCCTAGTGCTAAGTGTTTTATTTATATAGAATGTATCTTGTCAGAAATTTAGATTATTAACTGTATGTTCTCTTAATTGTATTACTATAATCCACATAGGCAGGGTTAAGATAAAAAATTTTATATTAGACATAGAAAACCTTAAATCTTTATTCACCTATAACTTGTTTTTGTAGGCACACACACTCCTGTCAATTTAAAATGTGTACTTTAGCTTGATTGGCATTTATAAGTAATGTTGATAGCAAGACTATAGAACTTTGCTTTCATTTTCTTTTATTATCACTTTAATTTGTGTCAAATAGAAGAATATACACATTTCATTCTTATTTAAGAGTTCATATAGGAAAAACAAACTCTGGTCTTTTGGTGCAGTGTGCCTATAGCAAACTACTTTTCAAATCATAATCAGTAGCACTCATGTAGATATGATTATTTTATTTAGTTGTGTAATGGGAAGTATAGTATGTAGGAGGGTACTAAAATATGAGTGTTTTTGCTTAATTTGTAGGAGGAAAATGAGAAAAGAATGCAACATAGAGAATATTCAGATAATGAATCCACTTCTTCAGATAAGTAAGCAAATTTTAGTTTGCATTCAGTGTTCCTGTCAAAAGGCATGAATTTACTTTTGTTGTTTTCTTTTTAAGTACTGGAAGGAGAAGGAAAGGACCTTTTAAAACTATAAAATTTGGGACCAACATTGACCTTTCTGATGACAAAAAGTAAGACCTCCTGTTCTGTTTCCATTAAGTACAAACAGAAATGTAGAACTGAAATTTGCCTACTTTTATATTTTCTTTAATCCAGTAGTTATCCTGTTTTTGTGTGTTGACGGAGAAGTTTTTGCTAGCATTTTGAAATTATTTTTATTAGATTTTGGAATGGTACTTTTGTTATCAATATCAAAACAGTTTTACAGATGTGCAAATAAACATATAAGATTATCACACTTTTTTTAGTTTTTTAAATATTTCATTTATTTATTGTCATTTGACCCTGCTGGGTCATCCTTGCAGCATATGGACTTTCTCTAATTTCCACAAGCAGCATTTACTCTCTAGTTGTGTGTTTGGGCTTCTCACTGTTGTGGCCTCTTTCATTGCAAAGCACAGGCTCTAGGAGCACGGGCTTCAATAGTTGCAGCACTTGGGCTCAGTAGTTGTGGCTCACCAGCTCAATTGCTCTGCAGCATGTGGAATCCTACTTTGCCGACCAGGATTTAACCTGTCTTCCCTGCATTTGCAGATGAATTCTTAACCACTAGAACCAGGGAAGTCCCATAAATTTTTATCTGTTTCTTTTAGGACTTGTTTGAAAAAGAAGCTAAAAACTAGTTCTTTTAACCTTAAGCATTTGAAACTTGAAGATTTAACTGTTTTCTGTTTGGATTGAAAGATTTGGGGGTTAGTTGTCATTAATGTTTGCAACAATATCACACTTTCAAAATATCATTTTATTTCAGGTGGAAGTTGCAGCTACTTGAACTGACTAAACTTCCTGCTTTTGTGCGTGTTGTATCAGCAGGAAATCTTCTAAGCCATCTTGGTCATACCATACTGGGCATGAATACAGTTCAATTATACATGAAAGTTCCAGGGAGTCGGACACCAGGTTATTTTTATGAAATAACTTATTTTGCATAGCTAAAATAGAGTTGATCAAATGTGGTAGATGCACCTGTAGCGTTTCCCATTTGTAATTAATGAAGTCAGTGAGATTTTAAAATTCTTTTTAGTAGGCAAAAATACTGTAAGTATTCTTACAATTAAAGATGAAAGTATCAATTTATTCTCTCAATATAATTTTTATTCTTTTTATATGTAACCATCAGAAAAATTTTACCCTAGCAAAGGTATTAACACAGGCAGTCAAAGTCTTTGTCTTGGCCCCATTGACAGCAAACTGTCAGTTTTCCACATTTTTTCACCACAGTTACAGTTCTTACTAATAATGAACTAATATGTGTCCTATATGGTATAAAACTTCACTGAAAATACTTAAAATATATTATACACTATATTTTTAAAACTATCTCGTATGTACCTTATTGGGATTCCAAGTCAGCATCCCCTTTTGTCAGTATAGCTACAAATGTATATCTGTTAGAGCTATTCTGTGGAAAAATTTTATGTTTGATCTTTTTCTGTTTTTTTTCTTGTAAGCCCCAGCTGGCCAGTCCTCCCCATGCATCTCCCCAATCCTGTATGTTTCATATATTTAATCCTTAAAATTTTTTTTCTGAAACTAGGTACTGCCAAACACTATCAGTCTATGTGTTTACTTTATTTAGCTTATTTAGTTGGTTGGAAGGCATTTACAGAACTCTCTTAAGATTTGTTTCTCTTTTTTTTTTTAACTTTTACGTCTTCTCTTTGCACTTAGTTGCATTTCAGATGCAGTTTTTTCAGTTGAAGATCACAAGTAAAAGAAGGCTTTTACAGTATAAAATGTTCTCTGCACTTGTTATTTAGCTTTGATTGTGTTAATGAAAGTTATAGTTTGTCAAGCAGCAATATGAATTATAAGGGCATAAGGTCTCTGTTATTACGGCTTAATTCTTATGTTGTAGCATGAAAACATATATGGATAGAACATAAATTGATGCCATATTTGAGTCCCAAGAATTTTAATTAAAAGAATGTTTATTTCACAGCAGACCATAGTGTGCTCTCCCCTGGTTTAAATCATAAAGTTTCATTCAATACAAATATAAAATCATTCTCTTTGCATTGACATAGTTTATGTCATAGGTGACAATTGAAGTGCTTAATAATTTTAAGTCCCAGTCTCTGGACAGCTGTCAGATGGTAGCAGAAAAAAACAACTCAGCTATATGGTGATGTGTACAGCCTACAGGTCATTTTGTTTGTTTGTTTTTCTGATGTTTTCTTCAGTACATTCTCACTGTAGAATAACCAACTAATTTTTAAAAGAAGAATATTTGTTGCTTATTTCATGAGTTTGGATTCCCAACTTTGGTAATTGGAATCTGCTGAAAAGCTTTCCAGAGAAATAATGAATCATTTTGAGGATGAGATATCATTATTTAATAGCTTCTCAGGGATATTAATGTACAACTGGGAATAAAACCCAGTTATTGAAATGTTTATTCCCAGGATTATTGCAAATTTAGATAGTACTGTTTTATCAGTATTTGGATCAAGTGGAAAGAAATATGAATAATTTTAATAGTTGAAAAGGTATTTAATGTATTGGCCTTCTTTGTCATTAATACTTAATACTGGGCAAGAATGTTACTTTTCAGGATTTTTAATGTGTATGATACTAGAGTAGATCCATCAAGATTTATTTGTATTTGAAAATTATTTCATTTGATTTAGAATATTTTATAAAAGTAAGTATGTGACAGGTGAAGTGAATCACAGAAGATGAAAAGCTTTTTTTTTTTTAATGTAAAATCTGAGGGGCTGAAGCCAGATTTAGTGTATTATTCTTTGTCATTTATGCCTAGAAGTCTTGGGATGTTTCATTTGTTTGTCATTACATTAACAGTATCCTCTGGAACTCAGAAGGAATTCCTTAGAGAAAATATGTCATGTGTTTTAGTCAGCTTCTGTAATTCATAGAAAAATAGTTCTAAGTGTTTTTTTAGTTGGTAAACATTTTGTCTGTTCTTACATAAAAGAAATGATACTTTATATAACACACTTTACCTACTGAAATGAGCTTTTTAAATGTGTTCTTAAAAATTTAGAGGCTATATTCTGAGGCTATATTAGATTACCCATCTCTACCTGTGGTGGAAAAGGTATAAGCATTTACAGTATGTAGCAATATGAAATTGGAAGGTTTATAAGACTTAACAGGTTGCTAAGTCACCAGTTACATTTTGAAAATAATATCATTCATTCATGTTTTTCTTTTACCTTTTTATGTTGTATTGAAGTATATAGCTGATTAACAGTGTTTAATGTGGACAGCAAAGTACTCACTCATACATACACATGGATCCATTTCCCCCCAAACTCCTGTCCTTTCCAGGCTGCCACATTGAGCGGAATTCCCTGTCCTGTACAGTAGGTCCTTGTTGGTTCTCCATGTTAAATACTGTGGTGTATACTTGTTACATTGTGTACCTGTCCATCCCAAACTCCCTGACTGTCCCCTTCCCCTCCATTTCCCCCATGGTAACCATAAGGTTATTAGAGAGTATTGAGCAGAGTTCCCTTCCTTTGCTGTACAGCAGGTCCTTGTTAGCTGTCTAGCACTGTGTACATGTCCATCTTAAACTTGCTAAATTTCCTTTATCCCCATCCTTTCTCCTTGATGACCATAAGGTAATCACAGAGTATTGAGCAGAGTTCCCTGTGCTGTCCAGCAGGTCCTTGCTGGTTCTCCATGCTAAACCCAGCAATGTGTCCATGTCCATCCCAGACTCCCCAACAATCCCTTCCCCCATCCTTCCCCCTGGTGACCATCAGGTTATCACAGAGTGTTGAGCAGAGTCCCCTGTGCTGGCCAGCAGGTCCTTGCTGGTTCTCCATGTTAAATACAGCAGTGTGTCCATGTCCATCCCAGACTCCCTGACCATCCCTTCCCCCATCCTTCCCCCTGGTGACCATCAGGTTATTACAGAGTATTGAGTAGAGTTCCCTATGCTGTCCAGCGGGTCCTTGCTGGTTCTCCATGTTAAATACAGCCATGTGTCCATGTCCATCCCAGACTCCCTGACTGTCCCTTCCCCCATCCTTCCCCCTGGTGACCATCAGGTTATTACAGAGTACTGAGCAGAGTTCCCTGTGCTGGCCAGCAGGGCCGTGGTTATCCATTTTAAATATAGCAGTGTGCATGTAAATCCCAAACTCCCTGACTGTTCCTTCCCTGTACTCTTCCTTTCAGCAACCACAGCTTTGTTCTCCATGTCCTCATTTGTTAATTTTTGGTACTCTTTGTGAGATGGGGTAGTTTACAGAAAAGAAAGTAGTAACACTGATAATAGCTAATATTTATTACTTATTCATATGGCATTCATTATTCTGTAAGCATTTATTTTTCACCCAGTCCACAAAACAGCAGTAATTTAATGGCACATTTCTTTCATTGACTTTAGGATGGACAGGTACACACTGCTACATGTACACACTGTTCATTTCATTTATAGTCTCATCATGACTTTTTTCCTTTTACATTTTAGGTCACCAAGAAAATAACAACTTCTGTTCTGTTAACATAAACATTGGTCCAGGTGATTGTGAATGGTTTGTTGTTCCTGAAGGTTATTGGGGTGTTCTTAATGACTTCTGTGAAAAGTAGGTTTCTAAACTAAATTTTCTTTGGAAATAATTGTGAGAAAAGTTATTATGAAGGGCAGTTATACCTGCTGTTGTTTAAGAGTTGGAAATGATATTGTTACAGTAACATACTTGATTAAGAATTGAATGTAATTCTCATACTTGTCATGTATGGTTATTTTTAAATTGATACACTTATTTCATATACTAAATTCTTTAATATTTTAGAAGTTATTTACTCATAGTTTATTTACTAAAAAGTATGTCAGAGTGGTTAAAAAAACAGTACTCCAAATTTCTCTCAATTACTGGTAATGTATGATCAGGTTTTTCTGCCTTATGTGTAAGGTTTACTGTTGATATAATGAATTTTTTAATAAAATTTATTTCTTTACGTTATATCATGTGGTATTTTTACACATACATTGCAGTGATTCTTTTTAGGAAGAACTAATTTTTTTATGGAGGAGGAAATGGCAACCCACTCCAATATTCTTGCCTGGAGAATTTCATGGAAAGAGGAACCTGGCAGGACACAGTCCATGGAGTTGCAAAGAGTCAGACATGACTAGGCAACTAACACACAACTATTTTTAGGGTTTACTTTTCTTCTATTTCAAATATCTTAGGAAAGATATACATTCCAAGATGTACTTGGAAAAGACAGCTGATATCCCCAAAGTTTAAACTGCAGTAATGATGTATTTTAAATTGTAGAAATCACATGTGTCTTCTCAACTTCTGTAATTTTGTTTTGCAGAAGGATACTGCTTGTAATGTTTATAATTTCAATAGTTTATTTTATGGTTGCAGATAACATGTTATCTTAAAATCAACTGCTGTTTTGAATTTTTGATAAAGATGTTTGATCTGTTTGCCATCTTTGGCATCCTTTTTTTAAATGGAAGTTTCTCCAGTTTCATATTGGTAATACTGGGTGAAATAGTACTAAAGTTTATAGTGTGCTTGAGAAGAGTTGAATAGTTGCCCCTGAGCATGTCGGGCCCCAGAGTACCTGATTATAATAGTGCTTACCTGTTTGTCAGCACTCATTAATAGGTAGATTTTATTGTATGTGTATTAAATCTAAGTAAAATCTACATTAAACTAAAAAACTAATTTATTTTCAGTGTAATTTGAAAACAACATTTGTATTTTGAAAAGTAAGTTTAGACATATGGTACCAAAATAAGTAAGTAAGTGTACCTCTTCTCTTCTGTTGTTACTTTTCTTCAATTGCTTCTTCTATTCTAGAGCCCTATTCTGAAGTTCTGACAGTACTATTAAGTTTTATTAAACTATATAAAGTGATAGCATTTTCTAATCTCTTAAAAGTATCTTTTCATCTTTGATGAGACATTAAAAAAACTTTGTCCAGTAACATTATTCATTTTTTTCAGAAATAATTTGAATTTTTTGATGAGTTCTTGGTGGCCCAATCTTGAAGATCTTTATGAAGCAAATGTTCCTGTATATAGGTTTATTCAAAGACCTGGAGATTTGGTCTGGATAAATGCAGGCACCGTGCACTGGGTTCAGGCTGTTGGCTGGTGCAACAACATTGCTTGGAATGTTGGCCCACTTACAGGTATTATAAATAATGTAATAACAGTAATAAACATAAGTAGTACATTTTAAAAATTCTAATGATGAGTTAGAAAATAACTCACTAAAAGTTCAAGTACTTTGACCTAGAAGAAATACAGTTGTTACTATACAGAAAGTGAATTCTAGCTAAGACAGGTATATAGAAGAGAAAATTTTAGCTAATTCGAAAAGTATGCTTTTGCAGATAAGACAATATACTTTTGGTGTTTTAGAGCATTGAATTTTTTTTTATAAAAGAAAACTTGTGGAAAGAATAACAATAATTATTTTTTAGACTTTTTATTTTTTCTAATATACCACATGAGATGTTTTGTCAAACTCTGTTTAATATATGCAGGATGAAAAAGTTTGGCATTTTGGTCCAGAAATATCTGATGACTCCTACCTTGTTTATCTTTGTAAATTTTGTGACTTTGGATAAGTGTTTTGAAATATTATAGGCTCATTCTTTCAATCTGGAAAATGAGAAATCCTTTTAGTCCAAAGAAGTGAGGGCTTCACAGATGTAATAAAGGCAAGCCTAATGCCAGGCACATGGTGGAGAGTTCTGACAAATCATGGTCCACTGGAGAAGGGAATGCCAAACCACTTCCCCATTCTTGCCTTAAGAACCAAATAAACAGTATGAAAAGTAAAAAACATATGATACCAGAAGATGAGCCGCCAAATAATAGATGCCAAACTTACTCCTGAGAAAAGGCTCTAGAAGAATTGAAGAGGCTGAGCCAAAGTGGAAAGAGCACGCAGTTGTGGATGTGTCTGGTGCAGAAAGTAAAGTCTGATGATATTAAAAAAATTGCATAGAATATTTCATGTGCATTCATGTTCATAATTTATTCATAGTTCCACAAATTAACACAGAATTCCTAGAGTGTTGGTTCCATGAATCTAGATAAATTGGATGTGAGCAAGCAGAGATAGCAAGAATGAACATTGACTCTTAGGAATCAGTCAAGTAAAAGGGATGAGAATGGGTGAATTTAATTCAGATGACCATTACATCTACTATTTTGGGTAAGAATCCCATGGAAGAAATGGAGTAGGTCTCATAGTCAACAAAGCATTATGTGGACGTAATCTCAAAAACGACAGAATGATCTGTTTTGTTTCCAAGGCAGACCTTTCAACATCACAGTAACCCAAGTCTGCGGCCCAGTCACCAGTGCCAAAAAGCTGAAGGTGAACAGTTGTATGAAGAACTACAAGATCTTCTAGAACTAACACCAAAAAAGGTGTCCTTTTCATCGTAGGGGACTGGAATGTGAAAGTAGGCAGTCAAGAGATACCTGACCATGGAATACAAAATAAAGCAAGGCAAAGCCTCACCCAAGTTTTGCCAAGAGCACATACAGATCATAGCAAAAACCCTCTTCCAACAACACAAGGGACACCTCTACAGCTGAACGTCTCCAGATGGTCAATACCAAAATCAGATTGATTGTATTCTTTGCAGCCAAAGATGGAGACACTACAAAATAGCAGCAACAGGACCTGGAGTGTCTGTGATTCAGATCATGAGCTTTGTAAAGCAAAATTAAGGCTTAATTTAAAGAAAGTAGGGAAAGCCATTAGACCATTCAGATACGACCTAAATTAAATCCCTTATTATTATACAGTGGAAATTACGAATAGATTCAAGAGATTTTCAGTCTGATAGACAGAACACCCAAAGAACTATGGATAGAGGTTTGTAACATTGTACAGGAGGCAGTGACCAAAACCATCCCAAGAAAAAGTAATGCTGGAAGTCAGAGTGGTTGTCTGAGAGCACCTTCCATACAGCTAAGAAAAGAAAAGTGAAAGGCTAAAGGGAAAGATAAACCCAACTGAATGCAGAGTTCCAGAGTACAGCAGGGAAAGATAAGAAAGCCTTCTTAAGTAAACAATGCAGAAAAAAATAAAAATAGAGGAAAACAATAGAATGGGACAGAATGGTGATCTCTCCAAAAAATTAGAGATACCAAGGGAACATTTCATATAATGATGGGCACAATAAAGGACAGAAACTGTATGGACCTAACAGAATCAAAAGAGATTTAAGAAGAGGTGGCAAGAATACCCAGAAGAACTGTACAAAAAAGTCTTAATGATCCTAATAACCACGTATTGTGGTTAGTCACCTAGAGCTGGACATCCTGGATTGTGAAGTTAAGTGGGACTTAGGAAGACTTTCCACAACAAAGCTAAGTGAAGGTGATGGAATTCCAGCAGAGCTATTTCAAATCCTCAAAGATGATGCTGTTAAACTGCTGGCCTGAATATGCGAGCAAATTTGAAAAACTTGGTGATGGCCACAGCACTGGAAAGGGTCAGTTTTCATTCCAGTCCCTAAGAAAAGCAGTGCCAAACAATGTTCAAACTAGTGTACATTTTGACTTCACATCCTAGCAAGGTAATACTCAAAATACTTTTAGTTTAGCTATAACAGTTTGTGAACTGAGAACTTCGAGATGTACAAGCTGGATTTGGAAGAGGAACCACAGAGATCAAATTGCCAACATCTCTTGTACTAAGAGAAGCAAGGGAATTCCAAAAAAAAAACCAAAGCCTTTGACAGTGTAGATCACAAGAAATGGAAAATTCTTAAAGAGATGGGAATACCATACCACCTTACCTGTCTCCTAAGAAACCTGCTTGTAACACCAGAAGCAAGAATTAGAACCAGACATGGAACAACAGAATGGTTTATAATTTGGAAAGGAGTATGTCAAGGCTGTATATTGTTTCCCTGCTTATTTAACTTCTATGCAGAATACATTATATGAAATGAGAGGTTGGTTGAATCATAAGCTGAATCAAGATTGTGGTAGAAATATCAATGACCTCAGATAGGAAGATGATAACCACCTTAATGGCAGAAAGAAGAGGAACTAAAGAGCCTTTTGATGAGGGTGAGACAAAAGAGTGAAAACCCATGCTTAAAACTCAGCATTCTAGAAACTAAAGTCATGGCATCCTGTTCCATCACTTCATGGCAAATAAATGAGTAAAAATTGGAATCAGTGGCAGAGTTTATTTTCCTGGGCTCCAGAATCACTGTGGATAGTGAGCACAGCCACAAAATTAAAAGAGGCTTTCTACTTGGAGTCAAAGCTATCACAGTCCAGACAGCATAGTGAAAAACAGAGACATCACTTTGCCAACAAAGGTCTTTAGAGTCAAAACTATGGTTTTTCTAGTACTCATGTCCGTGAGACAAGAGAGAGATATTGGTGGGGTTGCAAAGAGTTGGACACAACTAGCAATTGAAGGTAGTGCTCTTTAATGGCAATTTTTAACTAATTTTTATGAGAACCGTATTTTAGTGTTTTTAGTTTTTCAGAATTAGCGTTAAAATGATCACCTGAGTGGTGATAATGATTATGTTCATATGTTTTATTACTTTCATTTTTAACTTAAATTTTTTTTCCTATCCTAGCCAGCCAGTATAAATTGGCAGTGGAACGGTATGAGTGGAACAAATTGCAAAGTGTAAAGTCAGTTGTACCCATGGTTCATCTCTCCTGGAATATGGCACGAAACATCAAAGTTTCAGATCCCAAGCTTTTTGAAATGATTAAGTAAGTCCTTTCCAAAGTTGCTATAATTCTTCTTTTGGACACTTATGGTGAGGAGAAAATGGAGGACAGGGAATATGATAAAGTTACCTAATGAATGTTTTTCTCCCAGAGACTTACATCAGTTGATATCAGATGATAAAGTGGCCCCAGAATCTTAATAAGATCATTCACATGTTAAAAAATACTTTCTTTTGAAATAGACCGATTATTGTGGCATAGAGAAAAATGAAGGCATACATGATTCTTTACTAGGAAACTCATACATGTGTCCTTTTTCTTAACCTTTGACCAAACTGATGTCCTAGGACTCCTTTAGTTTTAATATTGGAAGTCTGTCTCAAGCACAGGGAGTAAGAATTTTATAAATATCTCATAAAGAAATTATCATTTTAAACAGTCTTAACTATTTAAATTTCCTACTATAATCAAATAATCCCCTTCTTGATCCATTTAATAGATTAACAGTTTAAATATATATGTATCTATATATAGTCTAGTAACTGCTCATTTGTTACCTTAGGTTTCTGTTCCATTTGTTTTCTAGGTGTATTTAGAATATAAGCACACATCATCTTATTGCTGTTTACTGGACTGCACTTTGCAGATACTGTGTGTTTTACAAATTGATTTGTGGCAAATAAGTATTGAACAAGTGTCAGCACCATTTCTTTCCTGCCCACTTTCTTTCTCATGTCTAATTTTGCTAATTCTCACAGTATTTCAGACTTTTGTTTATTTTTATATTTCTGGTAGTGATCTGTGATTAGTGATCCTTTATGTTACTGTTGTAAGAAGTTTTTGACTTGCTGAAGGTTGAGGTGATGGTTTTGTTATTTATTTTTTTTTTTGCAATAGGTCATTTTTAATTAATATATATACATTGTTTTTTTAGACATGATGCTTTTACCCACTTAATAGACTAGCATATATTGTAAACATAAGTTGACAAAATCAGGGAATTGACTTGCACAACAAAAAAGTTACAAAAGCAGGAAATTTACTTGGTGTATTATTGTGTTGGTGTAGAATGGAATCATGATGTTTCTGGAGTCTCTTGGTACATTTTTTCAGCATGAGCCACTTCCCAGTGTTTCTCCAAACTTCAGTTTATATGTTTTTCTTTCACTTCTTCTCCCCTCATGCCATCACCAAATGAATATTGGAAATTACAGGCTAAATATTTAAAGTACTATTTTGTTGTTGTTGTTTTTAAGTCCTGTCCCCACTTCTGTGTGTTTGTGAATTTTATGAATGTTAGACAGAGATTTAGTGTACTAAATCTTATACTAGATAGTCTAATTAGAATAGATGGTCTAGTAGTTTCACAAACTAGTATCATGAGAAACAGTGCTAATTTTGAATTTATTTTCAAAATTTTCTTCTAACAAATATACCCAAACAAAAATTGTTCAGTGAGGGTATTCACTATTTTACATACTGACTCATTCTATTTTCCTTAAATGTTTGAGATTTAAAATTAGAAAAGTTTGAAAGAGCATCCATCACTCAAACTCTGAACTAAGGCAGTAATTCGTATTATAGATCCACAATTATGGGTGGTCATTTGGTAACTTCGATATGACCATTAATTCTAATTCATGAAAATAATTATAGGGTGATCCAGATGTTCCATTTGTCTCTGTTTGACCTATGTTTTCTTTACATTTTATGCAGAATGAATCACATTCATCAAATATTTGAGAACTCTTACTCTTGACAGTACTCCTGGCAGTAAAATAGATACTGTGGAATGTAAATAACTCTCTTTCTTTGTGTGATTTAATTTAGTAGAGCTAGATAAACAAATTCCCAGATAAATAAATTATGATTAAGTAATATTTCTAAAGTATATTTTTACAAATTTGTTTTTTGGTTAAGGTCATGGAAAATGCTAACTTTTGTTCAAGTGGTTTATGAGACCATGGTTTCTGTAGTGGACCATAATCATAAAAAAGTGAACTAGAAGAAGAGCGAGGGATAAAAGCATTTTAGATCCTGAAACAAGTGAAAGCCTTATATAAGAAAATCTTTGTTGTATTTATGGGACAGAAATGGCTGTAGCAGTACAAAGGAAAGAAATATCTATGGTAATAAATTAAGAAAAATGATAAGGCACAGGATTATAGATGAACTTGTTGTTGTTTACTTGGTCAGTCACATCTGATTCTTTGCCACCCCATGAACTTTAGCCCACCAGGCTCCTCTGTCCATGGGATTCTCCAGGCAAGAATACTGGAATGGATTACTATTTCCATCTCCAGAGACCTTCCAGACCCTGGGATTGAACCTGTGTCTCCTGCATTGACAGGAAGCGTCTTTATTGCTGAGCCACTGGAAAAGCCCCCAAGGGTTCTTGTAGACAATGTTAAGTAGTTTAGGTAGTAATTCTGTGTGTTATAGAAGAAGGGAAAGATATTTTTGATTTATAGTTTTTAAGTGTGAATCTCTTTATTACTTTGTGGATAAAGATTGGAAAATGGAAGATAAAGGAAAACAGTTAAAGGCAATTGAAGAAATTCAGACTAGCTAACTTGGATTCTGATTGTAGCAATGGAAGTAGAGAAAGATTATACAACACACTGTTGTGAAGATTGAACTCAAGAGTTTGCATACAGATTGAATACTGACATAAGAGAGAAAAGGTAATGAAGAAAAGGTGGTTATCGTCTTTAGTTTTCTTATTTCTTGGTCATAAACTTAAAATATCTCTCACTTTTAACTTTTTCACTCTACCTTCATTATTCTCAATATCATCTAGACCCCTCCAATGTGTCATGCTCTCAATATTTGAAATGCAAACACCACAGCTTTTCTTCCATGAAAGAGGAATATACTCATTTTTCTGTTCTGGTCTCAGTCTCAGGTCAGTTGCTCAGTCATGTCAGACTCTTTGCAACCCCATGAATCGCAGCATGCCAGGCCTCCCTGTCCATCACCAACTCCTGGAACTTACTCAAACTCATGCCCATCGAATCGGTGATGCCATCCAACCTCCTCATCCTCTGTCATCCTCTTCTCCCGCCCTCAATCTTTTCCAGCCTCAGGGTCTTTTCCAATGAGTCACCTCTTCACATCAGGTGCCCAAAGTATTGGAATTTCAGCTTCAACATCAGTCCTTCCAGTGAACACCCAGGATTTATCTCCTTCAGGATGGACTGGTTGGATTTCCTTGCATTTTCATCAAGAGGCTCTTCAGTTCTTCTTCATTTTCTACCATAAGAGTGGTGTCATCTGCATTTATGAGGTTATTGATATTTCTCCTGGTGATCTTGATTCTAGTTTGTGCTTCCTCCAGCCCAGCATTTCTCATGATGTACTCTGCATGTAAGTTAAATAAGCAGGGTAACAGTATACAGCCTTGCTGTACTCCTTTTCCTATTTGGAACCAGTCTGTTGTTCAATTTCCAGTTCTAACTGTTGCTTCTTGACCTGCATACAGGTTTCTCAAGAGGCAGTCAGGTGGTCTGATATTCCCATCTCTTTCAGAATTTTCCACAGTTTGTTGTGATCCACAGAGTCAAAGGCTTTGGCATAGTCAGTAAAGCAGAAATAGTTATCTGGAACTCTCTTGCTTTTTTGATGATCCATTGAGTGTTGGCAATTTGATCTCTGGTTCCTCTGCCTTTTCTAAAACCAGCTTGAACATCTGGAAGTTTATGTTCATGTATTGCTGAAGCCTGGCTTGGAGAATTTTAAGCCTCACTTTACTAGCATGTGAGATGAGTGCAATTGTGCGATTGTTTTGAGTATTCGTTGGCATAGCCTTGGGATTGGAATGAAAAACTGACCTCTTCCAGTCCTGTGGCCACTGCTTGAGTTTTCCAAATTTGCTGTCAGATTGAGTGCAGCACTTTCACAGCATCATCATTCAGGATTTGAAATAGCTCAACTGGAATTCCTTCACCTCCACTAGCTTTGTTCATAGTGATGCTTTCTAAGGCCCACTTGACTTCACATTGCAGTATGTCTGGATCTGAGTGAGTGATCACACCATCTTGATTATCTGGGTCGTGAAGATCTTTTTTTATACAGTTCTTCTGTGTATTTTTGCCACCTCTTCTTAATATCTTCTGCTTCTGTTAGATCCATATCATTTCTGTCCTTTATCTAGCCTATCTATGCATGAAATGTTCCCTTGGTATCTCTAATTTTCTTGAAGCAATCTCTAGTCTTTCCCATTCTATTGTTTCCTCTATTTGTTTGCATTGATCCCCGAGGAAGGCTTTCTTATCTCTCCTTGCTCTTCTTTGGAACTCTGCATTCAGATGGGTATATCTTTCCTTTTCTCCTTTGCTTTTCACTTCTCTTCTTTTCACAGCTATTTGTAAGGCCTCTTCAGACAGCCACTTTGCTTTTTTGCTTTTCTTTTCTTGGGGAAGGTCTTAATCCCTGTACAAGGTTATAAACCTTGTCCATAGTTCATCAGGTACTCTTATCAGATCTAGTCTCTTATATCTTTTTCTCACTTCTACTGTGTAATCATTAGGAATTTGACTTAGGTCATACTTGAATGGTCTAGTGGTTTTACCTACTTTTTTCAATTTCAGTCTGAGTTTGGCAATAGGGAGTTAATGATCTGAGCCATAGTCTGCTCCCAGTCTTGCTTTTGCTGACTGTATAGAGCTTCTCCATCTTTGGCTGCAAAGAATATAATCAGTCAGATTTCGGTGTTGACCATCTGGTGATGTCCACGTGTAGGGTCTTCTCTTGTGTTGTTGGAAGAGGGTGTTTGCTATGACCAGTGCGTTCTCTTGGCAGAACTCAATTAGCCTTTGCCCTGCTTCATTCTGTATTCCAAGGCCAAATTTACCTGTTCCTCCAGGTGTTTCTTGACATCCTGCTTTTACATTCCAGTGCCCTATAATGAAAAGGACATCTTTTTGGGGTGTTAGCTCTAGAAGATCTTGTAGGTCTTGATAGAACTGTTCAGCTTTTTTGGCATTACTCTTTCCTTCCTTCCTTCTCCTTTTTTTCATTGATGTATCATGGGAAGATAATAAATTTGTACATTTTAGCTTAAAGTAGAGGTAATGAGGGACGTGTTTATTCTTGATTTTTCTCTGTATTTTTCACAATAAGCTTTATTTTTTTAATTTGAAAATAATTTGATTGAAGTTTAAGGGAAAACTTCACTCTTCAGTTCATAATTAACATTTGAAGAAACTTGAAATTTATTATGTTTATTATAATGGGTTGACTATTTCATACATCTCATATATTCATTGATATTAGAACATTCCTTTTGATAAAATACTTAAAAGAAATTAAATGCAGTAGATTCAGCTTTGTAATATACATACAAAATGTTCTTTGAATTGTTAACGAAGCCAGCTAGGATTCGTAAGATGTCCATGGTGTTATCACCCTATTAGGCTCAGTTTTGTGTGTAGCTCTGTCATTAAGGTAATCTGGGAAAGGTGAATCATCTCCTACTTAGAAATCAAGTATTTATTATGTGCTTATTATATGCCAGGTATAGTCTTATTTAAGGTAACCAGGAAATTAAACCTTTATTATCAGTAACTCTACATTTTAATATGACATAAAGACTAAAAACAGTAAATATAAGGAGGATAGTTTTAGATACATTTAATGTTTTATCTTTTCTTTCAGATAATAGTTTATATAAGAATATGATAATATCTTCCAGACTCTGATTCAGTAGCAATCCAGCAAATCAGAAAGCTCTAAATTAGTTTGATACTGATCAAACTAATACTGTTGAGGGTCATAATGTTCATAAACATCATTGTGACGTCACTTTTGCTAAACCAGTTCTGTGGGTTTTAGATTATCCTTCCCAGATTACATCATCCACTTCTGTCTTCAGAGGAGAGCTTTGAGACACATTTGTGGATGCTGTAGGACACAATTTTGAGTAGTAACAGCAAATTATGGAAAAACTAGCACAATTTGTGAAAATTCACTCTATTAACATCAGAAGTATGCATGTATGGAAAATACACATTACCAAAAACTTTAATATAAATTCAAGATATCATTAGAACCTTCAAATTAAAATTTGAAACAGTAATTTTAGTGCTTTTTTCTTCAGTACTATAGTTAAACTAACTATAAAATATAACCCATAAATGATTTTTTACAGTATCCAGAATTTTAAAGGCAGTCATAGATAAATTATTGTTTTGACTATCTAAGAGTAAATATATACTTTATTACCTTACTATTATCAAAAGAATTCAGCCTCCAATTTAAACTTGGAAACACGATTCTTGAAGTTATTTCTGTTTGATTATATCCTTTGTGCTAAGAGTACTCCATATTAAGTTGTCACAATAATTCTTTACTCTAGGTATTGTCTTATGAAAATTCTGAAGCAATGTCTGACACTGAGGGAAGCTCTTATTACAGCAGGAAAAGAGGTTATATGGCATGGACGGACGAATGATGAACCAGCACATTACTGTAGCATTTGTGAGGTAACTGTTCTTATTGACAGTTTTGCTGTGGTTTTTCTAGGGTTTAGTTTCTTTTGTCTTTTAATTATAAACATATATATACTTTTCATGTGAGGCATTTCATTGAGATTGAATATCATAGCTACTATATTAAATTTTCATGTAATGGTATAATTTTTTTAGTTTTTTATTTTGTATTGGAGCATGACTGATTAGCAGTGTTGTGATAGTTTCAGGTGGACAACAAAAGGACTCAGCTGCACATACACATGTATCCATTCTCCCCCAAGCTTACCTCCTGATGGTATAATATTCTGTTAACTCTGTGTTTACTCAGAAGTATCTCCTAACAGTGGCAGTTCTGTAAGACTTTTTTATCAGATGATTATAATCTCATGTTTTGAAGCAGGAACTATTTATCATAAGTACACAGTTGCCTACAATATATTTTGATGTATGTATATAATTTTATAGGTCAGCACTACTAAGTGCTTTCTGCTTAATTTCATAAACATTTGTTAATTTTTTCTCGTGGCAAAGATTTAAAAGTGGAGACATAAAAATATGGTAAGCTGTTCTACGTGAGATTATATTCTACTTAGATGATACAAATTATAAACAATGAAATGTAATATGCATGGAATGATAATAATGCCTATGGATTATATGCAGATTATTATTCAGTGACTTAGGAAATAGTAAAGTTTTACAGGACAAAAATCAGTACACAAAAATTGCTTGGTTATCTCTATACTTGCAATGAAAAATCAAAAAGAGAAATTAAAGAATCAATCCCAGTTACCATTACACAAAAAAAATATCTAGGGATAAACCTGTCTACGGAGACAAAAAGAAGATTGAAGACACTGGTTAAAGATATCAAAGATAACATAAACAGATGCAGGGATATTCCATGCTTCTTTGTTGGAAGAATCAATTGTAAAAATGACTGTACTACCAAACAAAATTTACAGATTCAGTGTAATCCCTGTCAAATTACTAATGGCATTTTTCACAGAACTAGAACAAAACTTTTTCACAATTTGTATGGAAACAAAAGATCGCGCAATCTTAAATTAAAGCTGGAGGAATGAACTTACCTGATTTCAGGCTATACTACAAAGGTACAGTCATCAAAGCAATATGGTACAGAGCAAAAAAAGTATAGACCAATGGAATAAGATAGAAAGCCCAGAGATAAACCCACACACAAATGGACACCTTATATTTGACAAAGGAGACAAGACTATACAATGGGAAAAAGATAGTCTCTTCAATAAGTGGTGCTGGAAGAACTGGACAGCTACATGCAAAAAAATGAAATTAGAATATTTCCTAACACCATACACAAAGATAAGCTCAAAATAAATTAAAAAACTAAATGTAAGACCAGAAACTATCAAACTCCTAGAAAAAGCAGGCAAAACACTGTATGACGTATATCTAACAAGATCCTTTATGAACTGGACCGTAGGATAATGGACATAAAAACAACAACAACAACAACAACAAAGAAGTGGGACCTAATTAAACTTAAAATGTTTGCACAGCAAAGGAAACTATAAACAGGGTGAAAAGACAACCTTTAGAATGGGAGAAAATAATAGCAAATTAAACAACTGACAGGATTAATTTTCAAAGTATACAAGCAGCTCATACAACTCAATACCAGGAAAACAAACAACCCCCAGTCAAAAAGTGGGCAAAAGACCTAAACAGACATTTCTCCAAAGAAAACATATAAATGACTTCTAAACACATGAGAAGATGCTCAGCATCACACATTAATAGAGAAATGCAAATCAAAACCACAATGAGGTATCACCTCATACCAGAGACAATGGCCGTAATCAAAAAATCCACAAACAGCAAGTGCTGGAGAGTATGGAGAAAAGGAAACCCTCCTACACTTCTGGAGGGAATATAAATTGATACAGCCAATATCACAGATGATACAGAGATTCCTTAAAAAGCTAGGAATAAAACCACCATATGACGCAGCAAAACCATTCCTAGGCATATATGCTGAGGAGACCAAAATTGAAAAAGACACATGTGTCCCAGTGTTCATTGCAGCACTGTTTACAATAGCCAAGACATGGAAGCAACCTAGATGTCCATTGACTGATGAATGGATAAAGAAGCTGTGGTAAAGAGTGGAATACTACTCAGCTGTAATAAGAATGCATTTGAGTCCGTTCTAATGAGGTGGTTGAACCTAGAGCCTATGATACAGAGCGAAGTAAGTCAAGAAGAAATATATAAACACCTGTATTTGGAATCTAGAAGGATGGTACTGATGACCCTGTTCACAGAATAGCAGTGGAGATAGAGACATAGAGAAAAGATTTATGGACAAGGATGGAGGAGAAGAGGGAGGGAGAGGGTGAGATGAATGGAGAGAATAGCATGGATGTATATACACTAACATACACAATTATATAGTCAATGGGAATTTACTTTATGACTCTGGGAACTCAAACTGGGGCTCTAATAACCTGGGGGATTGGAAAGGGCAGGAGGTGGGAGGGAGTTTCAAGAACAAGGGGAAATATGTACACCTATGGACAGTTCTTGGTGGTGGAGAGAAAGAAATTAAACCAATATTGTAAAGCAACATCAATCCATTAAAAAGAAATAGTTTTTTAAAAGATTTATGAAAAGTTACTTTCTAACATTGCTATAGGGGCCCCTTCAAAGGTGAATTTTTTTTATTACAGGGAAAAAAAGGCTTGAATCAGAGAATCAAAACATTATGTTTTGTGGAGGGCAAAACAAGTATTTGGTGCAAGAGTAATTTCAGTTTTGCATTGATAAATGTTGCCATTTGATACTGGAATACATTATTAGATAAATAAATGTGGTTCTGTTATCTATCATTTTAATGTGCATATCTTATGTTTTTTGCCAATGAATTATTACTGGCTATTTACTTACATGTATTTTAGACTATGGAAATGATTTTAAAGAAACAGCAAGTTCAAGTGATTTTCTTATTCAAGTTCAAAATGGGTCATAAAATGGTGTACACAACTCTCAACATCAGCAATGCATTTGGCCCAGGAACTGCCTATAAACATACAATGCAATGGTGACTCAAGAAGTTTTTCAGTGGAGACTAGAGCCCTGGAAGATGAGGAGCACAGCCATCAGAAGTGGACAGCAACCAACTGAGAATATCACTGAAGGTGATCCTCTTAGAACTACGCGAGAAGTTGCCCAAGAACTCAGCTTCGTTCATTCTGTGGTTATTTGGCATTTGAAGCAAATTGAAAAGGTGAAAACCTGGGTGAGTGGGTGCCTCATGAGCTGACCACAAATCAAAAAAAAAAAAAGTCATTCTGAAGTGTTGTTGTCTTTTATTCTACACAACAATACTAACTATTTCTCAATCAATTTTTACATGTGGTGAGAAGTGGATTTTATTCACTGTGACAGTCAGCTCCATGGTTGGACTGAGAAGTCCAAAGCACTTCCCAAAGACAAACTTGCATGTATAAAAGATCATGGTCATTGTAGGTGTCTGCTGCTGGTCTGATCCTCTCAGCTTTCTGAATCCCAACATAACCATTACATCAGAGAAGTATACTCAACAAATCAATGAGACACACTGACAACTGGAACGCCTGCAGTCAACATTAGTCAACAGAAAAGGCCCATTTATTCACAACAAAGACCAATGCTTCAAAAATTGAACAAATTGGGCTACAAAGTTTTGCCCTATCTGGCATATTCATCTGACCTCTAACCAACCAGCCAGCATTTCTTCAAGCATCTTGACAAGCTCAGTCAGCACAGGATCCTTCCCAAAATACTGAAGCACGGATTTTTATGCTACAGCAATAAACAAACTTATTCCTTGTTGGCAAAAATGGGTTGACTAAATTGGTCCCCCTTCTGGTTAATAAAGAGCCTAGTTGTAATGATTTAAAATTCAGGATCTGAAGGCGTAGTTGCTTTTACACCAGTCTAATAGTACAGTAATAAAAAGGCTAAATAGTTTAGTGTGGCTAGAAAATGTATTGCCTATTTTCAGAACTCTGTAAGAAGTGGTATGTAGCTATAAGCATCTTGAATTTAAGAAATCTGATGTTTATTTTTATTTTAAGATAATTAAAAGTTCTACAAGTAGGCACTCTGTGTTTCATCAGGTGGTAGTTGATAATTAAAGAAAATGAAGATGGTAAAGAGACTAGTTTTGAGCTTTTTTGTTTGTTGCTTGGGGTCTTGGGAGTGTGCACAATGCATAGGATGTGAGATGTTAGTTCCCATATCTGTTTTGATCCTAAGCCCCCAACAGGTCAAGCTTGAGTCTTAATCAGGGGACTGCTAGTGATTTAGTGCATAGAATGGTATTTAAAAAAAGTACTAAGGGCTGAGATTCATCAGTACTGTTAGGGGTGTCAAAAAGAAGAGAGAAACTTAAAAGCCTTTAGAAAGTAAAATCAATATCATGGTTGAAGAAATAGGGAATGATGACAAGCTGAAGAGCCAAGATGTTTTAACTGGGGTCACTAAACCATGTACTGCCTATTTAGAGTAAAGGAAAACCTTATGAACTCTCATCTTTTACTAGTGTGGTTCAAAGATGACTTAAGGTGATGAGTTTCTAATCACTGAAGTCAAACAAAGTCAGAATATCACTTGCCTAAGAAATTGAATATCCAAAGGAAATCTTGAAATCATATTTTAATTCTGAGATACACTGATTAAATCTTTTGGCTGTTTTAACATTGCATAATTTCATTGAAGTATATTTTTATAAGACCAAACAGACTCTGGTTAGCTTTTATATCTCAGATAAGTAATGATTTTTTCTGTATATGAAAACAAGTATTCTAGGTATTATCCATTTTCCAGGCTGAGGCATTCAACTCAACATTCTTTCGTAAAAGAAGTACACTGTCTTTTGATATGGTACAGTTCATAAATACACCCTGTACTTATTTTCCTTAATGAAATAGGCTAAGAGATAAACACCCTTTATTAGTCATCAGTGAATTTATTGCTGTTGAAAATAAACTAATCACAATGGTACCTGGCAGTCCAGAGAAGAATGAAGTAAGTTAGTCAAAACATTTCTGTCCTCTTCATGGATCCTAGCCTTCTCGTGGCACAAGGGCTTGGGTAACTCAGTGACGCTATGAGACACGTGGAGCAGGGCTATCCAAGAGAGACAGGTTATAGTGAAGAGTTCTAACAAAATGTGATCCAGTGGAGGAGAAAATACCCACTCAAGTATTCTTCCTGCGAGAATTCTTAATTCGACAGTGTGAAAGGCCAAAAGATGTGACATCTGAAGATGAGCCCTCAGGTCAGAAGGTATCCAATATGCTACTAGGGAAGAGTGGAGGGCAATTACTAATAGCTCCAGAAGGAAAGAAGTACCTGAGCCAAAGTGGAAATGACACCCAGTTGTGATAATGTCTGGTGGTGAAAGTAAAGTCTCATGCTGTAAAGAACAATATTGCATAGGAACCTGGAATGTTTGGGCCATGATCAAGGTAAATTGGATATGGTCAAATAGGTGGCAAGAGTGAAGACAGATGTTTTAGAAATCAGTAATCTAAAATGATGGGAATGGCTGTCCAGGAAGCAACACTTAGAACCAGGCATGGAACAACTGATTGGTTTAGAATTGGGAAAGGCGAACAAGAGTTTTACATTGTCACCCTACTTACTTAACTTATATGCAGAGTACATCATGCCAGATGCCAGGCTGGATGAATCACAAGCTGGAATCAAGAGAACTAGCAGCCTCAGATATGGGGTTGATACCACTCGGATGGCAGAAAGTGAAGAGGGGCTAAAGAGCCTCTTGAGAGTAAAAGAGGAGAGTGAAAAAGCTGACTTAAAACTCAACATTCAAATAACTGAGATCATGGCATCTGGTCCCATCACTTCATGGCAAATAGATGGGGAAACAATGGAAACAGAGGCAAATTTTATTTTCTTGGCTCCAAAATCACTGCAGGTGGTGACTGCAGGGGTGAAATTAAAACACTGCTTGATCCTTGAAATCTGTGACAGCCCTAGCCCTAGGGTTAAAAAGCAGAGACATCACTTAGCTGACAAAGATGCATATAGGCAAAACTGGTTTTTCCAGTAGTCATGTACAGATGTGAGTGTTGGACCATATAGAAGGTTAAACACCGAAGAATTGATAATCTCAAATTGTGGGACTGGAGAAGACTCCATGAAGTTCAAGGAGATAAAACCAGTCAATCCTGAAGGAAATCAACCCTGAATATTCTTCGGAAAGACTGATGCTGAAGCTCAGTTCACCTGATGTGAAGAGCAGGTTCGTTGGAAAACAGCCAGCTCAAGGGAAGTCTTTCCCTTGTGCTGGGAAAGATTGAAGGAAAAAGGAGAAGCGAACACCAGATAATTAGATGTTTAGGTAGCGTCACCAACTATGATGTGTGTGCAGACTCTAGCAGATAATGAAAGAGAGGGGAGCCTGGCATGCTGGGGTTTACTGGACCATAACGAGTTGTGACTATATTTGTGGAGGTCAGACAAATGTGTCTCTCCTCCCCTTCAGGGAAAGACAACTAAAACCAGAATGTTATCAATAGACTGGTTCCAAATAGGAAAAGTACATCAAGGCTGTATATTGTCACCCTGCTTATTTAACTTATATGCAGAATAGATCCTGAGACACACTGGCTGGAGGAACCAAAAGCTGGAATCACGATTGCCAGGAGAAATATCAATAACCTCAGATATGCACATGACACCAACCTTATGGCAGAAAGTGAAGAAGAACTAAATTGATGCTTTTGAACTGTGGTGTTGGAGAAGACTCTTGACAGTCCCTGGGACTGCAAGGAGATCCAACCAGTCTATCCTAAAGGAGATTAGTCCTGAGTGTTCATTGGAAGGACTGATGCTGAAGCTGAAACTCTTAATACTTGGGCCACCTCATGTGAAGAAAAGAGGTGGAGAAGACCCTGATACTGGGAAAGATTGAGGGCAGGAGGAGAAGGGGCTGACAGAGGATGAGATGGTTGGATGGTATCACTGACTAAATGGACATGGGTTTGGATGGACTCCGGGTGTTGGTAATAGACAAGAAGGCCTGGCATGCTACAGTCCATGGGGTCGCAAAGAGTTGGACACGACTGAGCGATTGAACTGAACTAAACTGATCAGTACTGTTTTTGCACTGTTACTATGTGGAAAATTGAAACATGCTGATCCATGGTTATAATGATGATTTCATTAGGTTATTCTCTAAATACGTAACACTATCCTTGTTTGTGGATGTCCTAGAAAATAAACCTGGCATCTCAAACATACTACTGTGGGGTCTAGGTGTTTTTTAAGGTTATTCCTGTGCTTTTTATTTATTTATTTATTCTTTTAGCCACTCAGCATGCAAGATCTTAACTCCCCAATGAAAAATTGGTCCCATGCCCCTTGCTGTGGAAGAGAAGAGTTTAACAACTGGCCCATCAGCGAATTTCCCCATGGAGCCTTTTATCAATGTCCCGGTGTTTAGTTCAAAATGACCATCCACATTTTCCTGTAAAGTCAAATTCCATAGTTTTATAATAGTGGTACAGATAATTTCAGCTATGTCTGCTCAGTGCTTTTCCTTTTGTATAAAATAGGTGGAAGTTTTTGATCTTCTTTTTGTCACTGATGAAAGCAATTCTCAAAAGACATACATAGTACATTGCCAAGACTGTGCACGAAAAGCAAGTGGAAATCTGGACAATTTTGTGGTGCTAGAAGAATACAAAATGGAGGACCTGATGCAAGTATATGACCAGTTTACATTAGTAAGTGAATTCATTATGTGAGTACATATTTAGCTGTGTTGTGAAACATCAGTGTTTGTTTTCACTACCTAATTTATAAGAATTGATAAGACATTCACATTTTCTGTTGGTTCAGTAATAGTACATAGGAAAAATATTCCTCTTTTTTATACTTAGAAAACCTTTTATCTTTATCAAATCATTGCATATCACTGTTATTTCTTTTCAATTAGAATGGCCTAAATAATAATATTAATTACTTTAAAAACCTTTGTGTACTTTGAGAATATTATTATAGTATTATGCTACTTAATTGATACAGCCAGATATTGGTTTCTTAATTCTGTAGGTATGATCCCCCAGAAAATCAGTATGTTTTTAATACTCCTCTGCTGTCATATATTAATTATGTTTATTTAAAATTATTTCTTGTTACAAGTATTAAACTCATGGACGTATTTGATAGTGTTTTACTAATGATATGTAACATGCATGAAACCAAATTCACAAATTTGTATGCTCTGCAACTTTTCATTTCAAAGACAAGTGCATTTTCTTCTGACTTGAAAAGTCTTTGTGAATGGAAACACTTATTCCTGGCTTGTTATTATTGTTTAAATATCTTTTGTTTTAAATGTTGAAATTTAGTTGTGGTATTTTTTAAATGAATGGTGCATCAGATTGCTTAAAAGAGAAAAAAATTTTGAGAAATAGGTGCTCTAGCTGAGAAAAGTACACAGACCATTCACTAGTGAAATCTTAATTGAATTTTTACCGTTTTTTACACATTTTTTTTTTAGTTTTAATATGCCCTATCAATTCTTGTCATCAAATGATGAAGTAAAAAAAATGAGGGTAATAGTTAACAGCTCTTAAGAAATACAGCCCTCAAGGTCACAATAGCAGGTTATTGAACTTTAACTATTGAACTATTGAACTTTAAGTCTTTCTAACTCACTTGGTAACTACACTGTAGACGAGATAGAAACACTTTTGAGGAGTAATAATATACCGAAACAATTAACATACCTTACTTTTAATTTTAGGCTCCTTCAGTATCATCCTCTTCTTGATAATGGTCCATGAATATTAAATGACACCTTTTCTCACCTTCAGGAAACTTCTGCACCACTGGTTTTATAGCTTCTTAATAACAGTGCTGACTGAAAGCTATGTCTATACAACCTTCCAAGAATATTGTCAGTCAACTGGATATAGGAGAGCACTTCTCTGCTCCAGGATAGATCCGGCTTTCCTTAGTTACCATGTTTTATGCTTATCTGACAAAAGTGGCGCTGCCCAGTAGACTACTGCGTTGAAGATATCTTTTTTTTGTTTGTGTAATGTTTCTGGACTTACAAATTAGCTTTCATCTATATTTTAATCCTTGCAAAACTTTCTTTGGGAAGATACACTGCCTTCACTGGTCATATTTTTACTGAGATAATTAAATTTAAATCTTTGCTTAAGTGTTTTAATGTGGAAAATTAGAGGATAAAGGTTAGTTTTTCTTGTTGCTTTTTTTTTTTAATCACTTTTAAGTTTTTCTGTATTGTTTTGTGCCCATAATGGTTCCAAACAGAAAGTTTTTAAAATATTTAACAGCCTAATAGTGAAGATGCAAAGATAATAGGTTGCAGGTAGACTAAGGAATAAACTTCAGTTTTGTGATTTTTGTTTCTAATCTTGATACAGATTTACATTATTTATGAATACATATTTATTGCTTGAAAATATTTGTGACTGGTATGTTATTTTTCCAGGATTTACCTGCCATTAAATATAAGGAGTTCTGTAATTTTAAGCATTACTCCTTTTACATTTCATATGTGTAAATAAAACTTTAAAATTGTACAGAAATTTTACTAAAGTTGTTTCATGTTTAAAGCATTTTCCACTGTTTTAGAGTTTTTGTAAAAACCCAGATTTTGTTCCATTTCAAATCTTATTATATATATTTTATATGTACATATATGTCCACACACATGTATAACATATATGTATTTATAATACAGCATATAATTATAAAAATATAAAACAAACTTTTAATTTTTCACCTTTAAGGTAGTTTCTGAGATGCCTTCTATAAAGCATTGCTTACAAATGTATGTGTAGTTTTAAAGTAAATGTCTTTTATTCTGGTTTGTGGAGGTTGCAGTTATTGCAATGATTGCCAATAAATAAGTGCTGGAAAAATGTATAGTAGAAAATGAGTAGTGAAGTTACAATTTTAAAGGAAACGTGTAAGTTTGATAAATCTTATAGTGTAAAAGATATTGGTGATGATGGCCTCCACTCTCATAACAAATATATTAAGTGACATATTTTCTGGAATTATGTGACCTAAAATTCCATGATTTTCTGCTTGTACGACATGGTTCAGTGAGGGGAGAGGGAGAATATATTCAGTTCGTTTATCATTATTAGATTTTAACAAGCTCTGTGAAATTTTTTATTTCATATAAACAAATTACTCTTAATCTTCAACCATTTTATAACAGTTCCTGGTTTTCTGCCTATATCTTACTGAACCATTTGGCCTTTATTCTGATTTTATCACGTTTTCTAGGAGATTTCCTGAGAACTTTGGTAAAAGTTCTATAAATGAAGTGAGAATATATAATCCTATCTGATGAAAAGCCTTGATGTATTTTTTGTTTCAAATAACTTTATAGAAATAATATAAAGATGAAAGTTGTATAAATGTTACTACATTAGGTAGTAGTTTTTCAACAACTGAAAACAGTAATCATTTTATATATATAGATAAACATACACATATAGATACACATATATAATTTCAAAAGGAAATAATCTGTTTTAGTTAAGCAAAATAGTAAACAAAGAAAAATAGTGCGACTCATTATTTTAACTGCTGCATTTTTTGATTCTCCTATAAATGTTTTTATGCAAAGGTCATTGATACTAAAACTCAAAATGAACTTTTTGAAGCAAAGATTAAAATTTAGTCTTCAGGACACTTACAAAGTTAGTATATTTATAATGTATTTGTGCTCCATCTGAGTTTTTCTTAACTTCGTATTACTTACAAGGCATCTTATTGTTTCATCTCTTTTTGAGATGGTTTATTGCCAAGGTTCATATAAATTGAATTTACTGAGTTTCCCTACACATAAAAAATGACTTAGTTTTCTTTGGCTCATCTGTCAAGAATCATACTTCTCAGAATTGTAAACAGGTACAAAAGTGAAATCACATGTACCAACATCACTTAGAACTATTCATTTAGATTAATAAAGTCCTCCATTACCTGTTTTCTTTCATGAATTTTATACTGTCCTTTTGAATTGGATTTGGGGATTCTCTTGTATCTCAGTGGTTAAGAATCCACTTGCCAAGGATATACAATGGGAAAAAGACAACCTCTTTAACAAGTGGTGCTGGGAAAACTGGTCAACTACCTGTAAAAGAATGAAACTAGAACACTTTCTAACACCATACACAAAAATAAAATGGATTAAAGATCTAAATGTAAGACCAGAAACTATCAAACTCCTAGAGGAGAACATAGGCAAAACACTCTCCGACATAAATCACAGCAGGATCCTCTATGACCCACATCCCAGAATTTCAGAAACAAAAGCAAAAATAAACAAATGGGACCTAATGAAACTTAAAAGCTTTTGCACAACAAAGGAAACTATAAGCAAGGTAAAAAGACAGCCCTCAGATTGGGAGAAAATAATAGCAAATGAAGCAACAGACAAAGGATTAATCTCAAAAATATACAAGCAACTCCTGCAGCTCAATTCCAGAAAAATAAATGACCCAATCAAAAAAATGGGACAAAGAACTAAACAGACATTTCTCCAAGAAAGACACACGGATGGCAAAAAAACACATGAAAAGATGCTCAACATCACTCATTATCAGAGAAATGCAAATCAAAACCACAATGAGGTACCATTACACGCCAGTCAGAAGGGCTGCTATCCAAGTCTACAAGCAATAAATGCTGGAGAGGGTGTGGAGAAAAGGGAACCCTCTTACACTGTTGGTGGGAATGCAAATTAGTACAGCCACTATGGAGAACAGTGTGGAGGTTCCTTAAAAAGCTGGAAATAGATCTGCCATATGAGCCAGCAGTACCACTTCTAGGCATACACAGTGAGGAAACCAGACCCGAAAGAGACACGTGCACCCCAATGTTCATCGCAGCACTATTTATAATAGCCAGGACATGGAAGCAGCCTAGATGCCCATCAGCAGACGAATGGATGAGGAAGCTGTGGTACATATACACCATGGAATATTACTCAGTCATTAAAAAGAATTCATTTGAATCAGTTCTAATCAGATGGGTGAAACTGGAGCCCATTATACAGAGCGAAGTAAGCCAGAAAGATAAAGACCATTACAGTATACTAACACATATATATGGAATTTAGAAAGATGGTAACAATAACCCTATATGCAAAACAGAAAAAGAGACTCAGATGTATAGATCAGACTTGTGGACTCTGTGGGAGAAGGCGAGGGTGGGATGTTTCAAGAGAACAGCATCGAAACATGTATATCTAGGGTGAAACAGATCACCAGCCCAGGTTGGATGCATGAGACAAGTGCTCAGGCCTGGTGCACTGGGAAGACCCAGAGGGATCGGGTGGAGAGGGAGGTGGGAGGGGGGACTGGGATGGGGAATACATGTAAATCCATGGCTAATTCATTTCAATGTATGACAAAAACCACTGCAATGTTGTAAAGTAATTAGCCTCCAACTAATAAAAATAAATGGAAAAAAAAAATCCACTTGCCAGTACAGGGGACACAGATTTAATCCTGGTGCAGTGGGATCCCACATGCCTCAGAGCAAAGTAAGGCTATGTGCCACAACTACTTAGTCTGTGCTCTAGAGCCCACATACTGCTACTGAAGCCTGAAGCCTCATGCTCCACAAGGGAAGCCATTGCAGTAAGAAGCCTGAACACTGCAACTGGAGAATAGACCTAACTTGCCACAACTAGAAGAAGCACTCAAAGCAACAAAGACAGCACAGCCTAAAATAATTTTTTTTTTTTAATTTGGAGGTTTTTTTTTTATTGCAGGAGATAGAATACCTATAAATAAACTCAGGTACTTTTTTTCCATTAAAAAGTTGACATACAAAATTAGGTGAGTTTCAAGTGTTCAACATAGCAATTTACAATTTTAAAGGTTATAGTCCTTTTATAGTTACTGTAAAACATTGGCTCTCGTTTTTAATTGAAAGAAATCTGTGTATTTTGTGTGTTAATCCCTTACGATTTGCAAATATTTTCTCCCACTTATTAGGTTGTCTTGTCATTTTGTTGATGATTATCTTTGTTTTATAAATGTGTTTCTTTTTAATTACGTTATATAATGACTTTTTGCATTTATTTCTTTTATGTCAGGAGACAAATCCAAAATATTGTGTGATTTATGTCAAGAGTATTCCACCTATGTTTTCTTCTAGGAGTTTTACAGTTTCCAACTTTTTCTGTGGTCTAGGATGTGATGTAATCTAAAGACTGTTCCCTGTGCAGTTAAAAAGAAAGAGTATGTAAGTGGGTAAAGAGTCTCCTGCAATACAGGAGACACAGGAGATGCAGGTTTGATCCATGACTTGGGAAGATCCATCCCATTTAGGAAGAAAATGGTAACTCACTCCAGCATTCTTTCCCATAATCTCCCAAGCACAGAGGAGCCTGGCAATCTGTTGTCCGAGGATTGAAAAGCATCTGACACAACTGAGTGTTTATGCATATATGATAAACATATATATATAAGTCCACATGGCTTAATGTATTACATAAGGGCAGTTTTTCCTTATTAATTTTCTTTCTGGATATAGTGTCCACTTATGTAGGTGCAGTGTTAAAATCTGCTCTTTTTACAATGTTACTGTTAATTTCCCCTTTCAGGTCTGTTGCTATTTGCTCTATGTGTGGAGGTGCTCCTATGTACGTTTATATATATGCATGTGTATATATTTATTGTTTCTTGGATTAATCCCTTGGTCATTTATTGATATAATGAATATCCTCATCTCTTATAACAATCTGTGTTCTAAAATCTACTTTGTCTTATATAAGTATTCTTACCTATATAAGCTTTCCTTTGATTTCTATTTGCATAGAATATCTTTTCCATCCTCTCAGTTTTCCATATATAGATGTCTTTTAATTTGAAATGACTCTGTTGTAGGCAGTCTATAGATAGGCCCTATTTTCATGTCAGTTCAGCTGTACCTGTCTTTTAATTGGAGGATTTAGTTCATTTACATTTTAAGTAATCAGTTCCAGTTCAGTTCAGTCACTCAGTCGTTCCCGACTCTTTGCGACCCCATGAACTGCAGCACTCCAGGTCTCCCTGTCCATCCCCAACTCCCAGAGTCAATCAAAACCCATGTCCATTGAGACAGAGATGCCATTCAACCATCTCATCCTCTCTTGTCCCCTTCTCCTACTGCCCTCAATCTTTCCCAGTATCAGGGTCTTTTCAAATGAGTCCGCTCTTCACATCTGGTGGCCAAAGTATTGGAGTTTCAGCTTCAACATCAGTCCTTCCAGTGAACACCCAGGACTGAGCTCATTAAGGATGGACTGGTTGGATCTCCTTGCAGTCCTAGGGACTCTCAAGAGTCTTCTCCAACACCACAGTTCAAAAGCATCGATTCTTAGGCACTCAGCTTTCTTTATAGTCCAACTCTCACATCCATACATGACTACTGGAAAAACCATAGCCTTGACTAGATGGATGTTTGTTGACAAAGTAGTGTCTCTGCTTTGTAATATGCTGTCTAGGTTGATCATAACTTTCCTTCCATGGAGGAAGTGTCTTTTAATTTCATGGCTGCAGTCACCATCCGCAGTGATTTTGGAGCCCAGAAAAATGAAGTCAGCCACTGTTTCCACTGTTGCCCATCTATTTGCCATGAAGTGATGGGACCAGATGCCATGATCTTAGTTTTCTGAAGGTTGAGCTTTAAGCCAACTTTTGCACTTTCCTCTTTCACTTTCATCAAGAGGCTCTTTAGTTTTCTTCATTTTCTGCCATAAGGGTGGTGTCATCTGCATATTTGAGGTTATTGATATTTCTCCTGGCAATCTTGATTCTAGCTTGTACTCCCTCCAGCCCAGCATTTCTCGTGATGTACTCTGCATGTAAGTTAAATAAGCAGGGTGACAATATACAGCCTTGATGTACTCCTTTTCCTATTTGGAACCAGTCTGTTGTCCATTTCCAGTTCTAACTGTTGCTTCCTGACGTGCATACAGATTTCTCAAGAGGCAGGTCAGGTGGTCTGATATTTCCATCTCTTTCAGAATTTTCCACAGTTTGTTGTGATCCCCAGAGTCAAAGGCTCTGGTATAGTAAATAAAGCAGACATAGATGTTTTTCTGGAACTCTCTTGCTTTTTTGGTGATTTATCGGATGTTGGCAATTTGATCTCTGGTTCCTCTGCCTTTTCTAAAACCAGCTTGAACATCTGGAGGTTCACGGTTCATGTATTGCTGAAGCCTGACTAGGAGAATTTTGAGCAGCACTTTACTAGCGTGTGAGATGAGTGCAATTGTGTGGTAGTTTGAGCATTCTTTGGCATTGCCTTTCTTTGGGATTGGAGTCAAAACTGACCTTTTCCAGTCCTTTGGCCACT